TTGCCCCTAAAACTAAAATGAACCACTTTTACTCCTTTTCCAAGGAGATCCCTCCGAGGATGACCCTACACCTCTCTTTTGCTTCAACTGCTCTCTTCTTGCATCCTTCTCTTTATTATCGGCCTCCAACATTAATACCCTTTCTACTGCTTCCGAGTAAACTTTAATGAACTACACCGTGATCAACGGCCTCATCCGATCATTAAGACCAGAAACAAACTTCCGAGTCTTGTAAGCTTCATCTCTCACCATTTCTGGAGTAAAACGGGAGAGTGAAGTAAACTTGTTCTCATATTCCACCACTGACATGCTCCCTTGAATAAGATTATGAAACTGGTCTTGTAACTCCCATCTTTTGAAAAGCGGAAAATACTTCTCATAGAACAGTTCCTTGAACCTGTCCCAACTCATCTCCTCCATCTTATACTGGTTGGTGACTGACTTCCACCAAACCTTGGCATCTTTAGTAAACTTGTAAGTAGCTAGGATGATCTTCAAATGATCCTCTGTCACATCCATTGAGATCAACTGAGTCTCAACCTGATCCAGGTAGTCATCTGTTACCATTGGATCCGCACCGCCCTCGAACATAACTGGCATCAACTAAGAAAAACCTTTAATGATCTTGAGACGCTTCTGAGCTGGCGTCTCCTCAACTTGAACTGTAGGTTATGGTGCCGATTGCGACTGAGCAACAATCGTTGCCCTCACGGCACTTTGCCACAAACGATTAAGCTCCAGTGCCACAGAACCTTCACCCACTTCTACGAGTGCTTCAACATTATCCCTCCTCGGGAGAACAACTCTTGGGGGAATCAAGTCCCTAAGAAGCGTTCCTCATCATTTAGCTCCGCCGGATTGGAGCTAGAGCTCTCGCCAACTTCACCCCTTGTTGGCCTAGGGCCAACATGCTTTAACTCTTCACGTCGTGACATCGTGCTATAAAACGAGAGAACGGTTCAAAAACATGACGCTAAAGTCCACCGTGGACGACTCAACATAAAATGATGACGTACCAACACTTAGCATACACAACTATGCAAGAAACATTTAACGTAAACATTTAGGCACATAAGCACATAGACAATTAAACATACTTGTTCAAATAAATAAACACGTAGCAAGGAATCACGTAAACAATGTAAACAACACCCCACGCAACTCTATGTAGGCCTCTACCCGTCGTCCCAAAGGTTTTCGAAGCCACGCTCTGATACCATTCTGTAACGACCCAAATCCTCATGGATCCGGATCATTAAACGGGTCCTTACCCGACCCAAAATCATCAAAGGGTAAAACGGTCATTTCACGTCAAAATTAAATAACAAGGTCCAAAAAGGGCAAATTGGTAATTTGTCATGAATCCATAAATTAAGGCTCAAGGATATCATAGTCCTTTACTTGTACCATATAATAAATAAAATAAGGTTCGGGGCAATATAGTCTTTTGGGTGGTTAAAATATAATTATTTCATTTTGGTGGGTCATAAAATAATTACGTGCAACATCACTTGGGGCCAAAATGAAATTATAAGAACTTAAAATTTGTAATTACATATGTGACGTAAACCGGTCGACGTATATGCATCACTGGTTTGGGTTAGAAACAGTGGTAATAACCACTGCCAAGATACCGATCGACTAGTTTGGGACGTATGCCATAATAACCATTCTGCCAAGATACCGGTCGACATTTGGGAAGCCACATGTCGACCGGTTCTAGGAAAATTGCACTCCCACTTCCCACTGTCCAGTGATAACTCACTTACACCAACACTTGGTAATTAACCACCCCGCCACTACATTCACGTATAAAATTAAGATATACTTCAACATCAAATTGTAATAACAACCGTTGGTAACGTAATTTACAACACGTTACTTAGAATACACAAAACTGATTTTGAGTGAGTAATAATTACATTTTCTCAAGGATCATTCACAAACTTAATTACATTCCCAAAACTATAATTACACATGAAATAGCTAAATACAAGATAGCAAAATCATCTTCTAACAACTTACAATTTTGAGGTAGATTAGCATCCGCCGGTTCTTTTCCAAGACCTGAAAAAAATAGATATATATAGTAGGGTGAGCTATATGCTCAGTAGGTGACACTTAAGACTTGCGTCTTGTGCCTCCGTGAATCCAATCAAAGCATAGGCCAATGGGAGATAGGGAGCATACAACATAGGGGATTAATACAACTTTCCAACCAAATTCGAATACAAAGAATGTAATGCCGTGGAATGCAAATGCATGCCAATGTCACTCCCCATTTTCATTCTCAAAATCATCACTTTCAACTGTTAATACAGCCCGCCCTTTGGTGACCCCGCTGCGACACGAGAGGAGGATTGGCTAGTGTCCCTGACCCTTGGTAACCCCGTGGCGTCATTATGGGGCCCAGCTAGCTCAACCACGCTAGGGCGACTCCTTAGTCCCCTCTAGGCTATATTAACCTCCGGCTAGTTGGTAATCCCGCAGCGACCGGGTTTGCATAAAACCATTTTATCCAAAACACTTCCCCAAAATTCCCAATTTCATTTTGAAACAAATTTCTCCCATTTCATGCAACCCAATGGTTCATGTATGCACATATATTCCATACTTTCAATATTATGGCATTTAAAGAATTACAATACCCAATCAAACATATATCATGTTCAACATTTCTAGAAAGGTCATCAACATAATAAACACAACAAAGCATCATCTAGACATACTTTTCACATAGAACAAATCATATTCAAGGTTGTGAAATTCTCTAGACATCACTTACACAACATTAAAACAACTAATTCTCAATTTAAGCATGTTTATTACACAAAGAAGATAAAATTCACCAAAGAGCAAGAACATCATGAATTAAGGATCCCTACCTCAAGTTTGCACCAAAACCCTAAAGATGGGTCCCAATTTCAAATTCCCTAGGGAGGCTCAAAGCTGTAATTGATGGTACTCACGCGTAGAGCTTATCGTGCTCTTCGTTTTGCCTCAAACGGCACCTTAATCCGCCAAGAATTGAGAGAATAATCAAAGCTCAAAGATTGTCTTTCAAGTGGAAAGAAAAAGAAAAGGAAAATGAGAGAGGGAGAGAAGCTATGGGAAAGAGAGAATGTGTGGAGTAAAGAAGTGTGGTCTCAAGACCATTTCAAGTGTTAGTGGTGGGCCCCACCAGATTTTCTTTTTGCTCCAATTTTACACCACATACACACATAAGTGAACCACATGCAAATACTACTTAATCCACATAATTTAAAATGCAAAATGCAAATGGACCTAACCACAATCCCGAACACAACATGCGAAAAGACAGAAATACCCTTGTCTCCACGAATTATTGAAAAAAAAAAAGAAAATGCTGAAAAAATCAGAAACATCACACATTTTATTTTGTTATCTTTTGTATTAGACTCTAGTATTTTTTGTAAATGTAATATTAACTATCTTGTGAAACTTTAGTTTAATTAATATAATATTGTAAGCTATGGACTTTAAAATTTTAGCTACAATTATGGACTGTAACTTGATGTAACGGATGTGTCCCTTGTTTGGATGAGATGGAGAAATGGGACTTTTCTATGTATGTAACCATTTTGGGAATGTAGTATAATATCTGAATTGTGTGTTGGGACAGGAAAAGTTAGATTTAAGGCCCAGTGAGGCCATTGCATTTATTTTTGTATTTGTACAGGTTGTTGAGGGACATTTTCTGTGGAGGTCATGCCGAAATTTTTATAGATTTTTTTAATTATTATTTTGGTATCTTTTCAGGTCCTTACAATAATGAAAAATTTTCTCATGAATTTAAAGCATACTTTAAGTCAACAAAATTTCTACAATTACATATATTACACAAGGACATAATCACAAAAACATACTTTCCATATCCAATCAACAAATCATACGTACATATATAATTTACAGAAAACATACATAGAGATACACATCATATATCTTGCATCATGGCAATTTTTCAAAAAAAATTTACAATAAATCACATACATTCCATCTACATCAGGATCACATTATTAAGGAGAAATCCTAAAATTTATTTTCATAATTTCAACATCACTTTTCTTAACAATTAAAAATCATGGGGCATCTAAAATATCAATACTAAGCATGTATCTTCACCACCAAGTATATAATCATAATCATATGTTCAATTAATACATATAATACATCCATCACCTTAATTACATACAATCATAACAACATAGGCAAAATTACTAAAATCAAACATGCTTAGAATCAAATTAAAAGGGAAAAATTCACAAAAGATCAAAGAAAACATGACTTAAAGTATCCCTACCTCACTTAGATGCAAAAACCCCAATTCCAAGCCTAATTTTCGAAAATTCCATGGTTGGCCAAAGATGAAATTGCTTACATCAACTTGAAGATCTCGCTGAGCTCTCCGTTTCGCCGCAAACGGCACCAAAAATCTCTAAAAAATGAGAGAGAAATCAAGGCCTTAAGGATGTAGATATAGAGAGATAGAGAGTTCCGATAGTGAGAGAAAGCTTGGTCACGATTTTTGGGGGAAAAATGATAAGACAACAGATGATATAACAATGTAATAAGTTAGTGCTTTGTGGAGTCCAGCAGAAAAATAAAAATAAGAAATATTACATTGATAGCAAAAGATACCTCATAGGAGGCTACTGAATCTGCACTAGACCGGAGTAAGCCTAAGACTCACAAATATGGAGGGGCCTTCGATGTTTCCCAGGGTAAAGTACTAGAGGAAAGAGAAAAGGCCCCAACAAGTCATGAATTGAGCACCGGAGAGACTGCAGAAACTCCATTATTTTTGGTAGACTGCAGAAACTCCATTATTTTTGGTTACTAAGGCAGGCATTTTAGAGATTGTTGAAGAAACCCTCAACACGTATCCTCAAGCAGTCGAGCATACTGATGATGAAGGGCGTAACATTTTACATGTAGCTATCAAGTATCACCAAATACATATTTTTGATTTTGTAGTGAAGATGGAAATTCCGATGATGAGGCTCATAAGAAAGATGGACAACAATGGGAACTCCATACTCCATATGGTTGGAATAAAGGCACAAGATCATGCAGCTGAAGACATGCCAAGCCCTGCTTTGCGACTGCAAGAGGACTTGCTCTTGTTCGAGGTACAATTCTTATGTCCCCTTCCTTAATGGACAGATGCACACAAAAACATACACTTTAGTTGCATTATAAGCATAGTCATTATAGAAACAGACATTTGTGTATCCTTTGATGTGTCGGATGGGGGATGCTACATTTTTGAAACTCCTAGGGTCCCAATAATTTTTCCAACATCCTGAAGCACCTTCTCGTGTTTTTAACATAACTATAAAATGAATAGCAAAATAAGAGTTCAAAATCTTAACTTGCCGGTACTAAGGAAAGTTTTTCATGTGATTCCATGTTTGTGCAGCGTGTGCAGAAGATCTCCACAACTCATTTCATCAAACACTTAAAACTCTAAAGGGCAGACTGCAGAAGTGCAGACGCCAAAGAATGGCTAAAGCTCACTGCTGAGAATTGCTCCTTTGTTGCTGTGGTAATTGCAACTGTTGCCTTTACTGCCGTCTACACGGTACCAGGAGGTCCAAGCGAGATTACTGGTCTTCTGCTTCTCCTTAACAATCCTTTCTTCGTAATTTTCACCATGACTGATGTACTCTCTCTTACATTCGCGTTGACATCAGTGGTGACATTTCTCTCCATCATCACCTCATCATTTCGGTTAAAGGACTTCAAGCAGTCTCTTCCTAAAAAACTAATGCTTGGAGTTACTCTTCTGATTTTCTCTGTTTCAATGATGATGTTGTCATTTGCAGCAACACTTGTCCTGATGATACATAACAAGGAACAGTGGACAAGACTTACCTTTTACACTGTTGCTTTCTTGCCTGTCACCATATTCGCATTTTCATACGTGCCTCTGTATATATCACTCATGGAAACTTTCATGTACTCCCTTAAGAAAATAGGGGATGTTTTTCCTCGGTTTAGCAGTGCCTTTATTCGATCTTGGGTGGCCAATTCATTCAGATTTTCTAAATTCCAAACCAAAATCACCTCTAAAAGTATGGATTCTCAAGCCACTAGCTCCACCAGTTCTACATATGCTTGCACAACTCAAACCACGCATTCCTTTGTTTGAACCGTGGAATGCAACCTCATTTTAGTACCATCTCCAAAACACCTTGTCGATCATTACATTCTGTATGGTTCTAGATTTTCTTAAAATGTTTGCTTTCATACTATATAGTGTTCTAATTTTGTTAAGTCAAAACTCTTAATTTGTGGACCATTTGGATCCACAACATTCAAGGCAATAATTTCCTGATCTTGGCTAGGAGATGAATTACTATTACATTCTAAGAAATAAACCACAAGATGAGCAAGGGACTTCAACTTACAATTATTTGGCTATAACGTTGTGTTGAACATGTGGATTTTGTCGTCATTCTCCAATTTATTTATTTTTTATTTTTATTTTTTTTCGTTGTGTAACAAACATTGCCTAGAAAAAATGATATTCTAAAAAAAAAAAAAAAAAAACCAATGCCGTCTCCTCAACAGTGTTGGGACTCCGGCATTGTCTTGGTTTCAAATGGTAAACAATTCGAATGTGGTTTCCGCAGAGACTTGGGCTCAAGTCTTCTACTTAAATTTCATTATTCTTTTCATATTCGAACTCGCAGAATCACATTTTTTCCATCTTAATTTTTTTCACTCGACTGCTTAGACTTGGGGGTGTTAAGACCAAAAATAAAATAAATAAAATAAAAAATAGATTTAAATTTAAAAAAGAAGTGACTAGGGTTTAGCCAATGACGTCCAAAGATTTTTAAGCCAGTAGCGGTCCCTTAGGCTTAGGTTGGATAAATCAGCTAATGCAAACTTAATTCAGGCCTAATTGTAACAGTCATAACACAATCTCATTATACAGTCCCAACCCCTTTTGTTCTTCCAATAATAAAAAAAAAAAAGTAGTCCACAAATGCATTTATATCTTTTTATTCATTCCAAATACCAGTGGAGGCACCAATCCACGTTAGTCCAAATAGTATGATCTATTATTGTGTCCTGGTAGGAGAATATTATAGTATGCGTGGTGCAAGTGTGTGCACGTTTGCTTGAAATTTTGATCGATAAAAGTTATAAATAAATAAAAATTATAAATAAGAACAATTTTGTTTAGAAATTTAGCAAGGATTTGATGACCCGGCTCATCAAACAAAAAATCTATTTCTGTTACCACAAACCAGATTCAATCTCTCTCTATATATAATTTTTTTTTCCTGAATATATATATTATATATATTTTTTAAACAATATAATATATATTACACATCTAAGATAGAGTGGGCTAAAAACAGCTCAATTTAACGGAAATTTAGGTGGCAAAACTGTCCAAATCAAACGAATTTCAATGTCAATCCAACCAAAATAAACATTCAAATAACTTGTTAATCCCATGCTACCATGTTTGTTAATGCCAACTGATACGTAGTTTTCTACGTATGTTGTAGAGAAAAATTAAAAAAAAAAAATCTTCGTATGTTGTTTGTGTACATGTATTGTTTAGGCCTGAAAATGAACTCTGCCAAAAGTGGTCATGGTATGAAAATGTAATGTTTCATTGCAATGCCTCAATTCAAGTTGTATTGATAAAATTTGAACCTGAGGGGAGCTGCAAATTAAAAGGAAACAGATGAACTTTTTCTCGTGTTGCGGCGTGGATCTTGTCGATTCCAACAAGATAAAGCCTATGAAAAGTTCCAGGAGTTTTTTAAAAGGGTGCAAGAGCTCCAGGAAATGTAATGATGAAGCAGCATTGGCCAAATTGGTCAAGAACATCTCAAAGAAATCAGGTCTGTTGTCTGCAAGTTTTTCTTTGATTTCTTGATAGTTTTAATTTTTATGCAAATGATCAAATTTCATAATATTAACCGACCCCAAATAATTGGGAAAACGCTTGGTTGTTGTTGATCAAATTTCATAATGTTCTGATTGATTTTCTTTCAATGTTTCGTATTGAATTTTTTTTTTTTGGCTATTTATATTATTTTTTTATGGAGCATCTTCTGGTTTAACTTTCTGATTGATTTTCAATTACTTTTTCTTTTCTATTTTTTTCAATTTGAAGTCTTGAAGATACAGAATGCTTTTGGTTATGAATAAAAATGACTGTATTGTTCTTTTAATTATAATTTCTTCATCCTAACAGAATGGTTTTGTCGATACAACTTAAGAAGACTTGTGTATGTAGTGCCTTAATTTGAAGCCTAGTTAATGTTGGAATTGTAACTCTCTTTCAAGGAGATTCGGAGAAAATATTTGTATTTAAATTCAAATATGTTCATGGATGTTCTTCTTTACTTTTCGTTTTTTCATAACCAATGTCAATGTGCAGCTTCCCCAAAAGTAGTTGGGTAGAAATGTTCAATCTTCTATTTTTGAAGGTTCTAAATTTTAGCTGGTAGGAGTTTGTTTGCTGGTCCAAAAACATATTTACCTTTTTGACATCATCTAATCAACTTGCAGGTAGCATTAAGCAGAGGAAACTGGCCAAGGAGATGCTTAAATTCGGAAATGTAAAATGTGCTGCTGAGGTTTTCACATTCCGTCAGTTGGCTGCTGCAACTGACAATTTCAATCTTGAATTGCTCGTGGGAGAAGGAGGTTTCGGGAGGGTGTACAAAGGGTACATTGGGGGCACAAATCAAGTATCTCTCTTTCTGTCTGTGTGTTTGTGTGTGTAGGTGCATACACTACCTCTTCCAGTCTCATACCTTATTTTGCGTCTTTTTCAGGCTGTGGCTGTGAAGCAACTTGATAAGAATGGGATGCAAGGAAATAGAGAATTTCTAGCGGAGGTTCTGATGTCGAGTCTTGTTCACCATCCAAACTTTGTAAATCTGATTGGGTACTGTGCTGATGGCCGGCAAAGAATTTTAGTCTACGAATACATGCCCAATAGATCGTTGGATATTCACCTTCTAGGTATGCTAATTTTTAAACTTTGTGATTTCTTCGACTGAATATGCTGCTTAAATGTACAATTAGATTGTAACCAACCCCCACTATAGACAATGCAAGTACATGCCTTACTCAAATGCAATCATCAATAATGTCACAAGGTTTATTTCAGCATACTAAAACTAAAGGGATGTACGAAAAACTTTTGAAAATTTTGTTCAAAAATATTGGTGTAGGAGCCGAGTCTGAACCATCAAGTTTGTGTCTTAAGCTTCACTTGGTGTAATATATATCTAGCTATTGGTACACTGTCTCTATGTATTAGCAGATACAAGAGGCAACCATTTTAGTTTTTACTCAACAAATTTTGGTACAATGCTTAGTTTTGCTAGTACTGATATGAACTATCTGCTTATCAGATTTGCCTCCAGAGCAGAAGCCTCTGGACTGGTATACTAGGATGAGGATAGCACAAGGAGCAGCTGAAGGACTCGAATACTTACATGATACTGCCGACCCTCCAATAATCTACCGTGACTTCAAAGCATCAAACATTTTATTAGACGAGGACTTCAATCCTAAGTTGTCTGATTTCGGACTTGCTAAGTTAGGTCCAACAGATGGCAAGGACCATGTCTCTACAAGGGTCATGGGGACTTATGGCTACTGTGCACCAGAGTACGCGTTGACAGGTCAGCTGACAACTAAGTCGGATGTGTACAGTTTTGGAGTTGTGTTTCTGGAGATAATTTCAGGAAGGAGAGCTATTGATACCAGGAGACCAACAGAGGAGCACAACCTGATTACTTGGGTATGTTATGCATAGGGTTTGATCTTTCAAATAAATTTATATGCACACCAAACTAAAACAAGTTATAGAACTGTGACCCAAGGCTTGAAAAAGAAAAGGAAGAATGGTCATAATTTACATATCATGACATCTCACGGTTGAGGATCTTCAACAATGCTATTCCTCTCATTGTAAAATGAATTCGAAATTGCATATCTTGTCAAAGCATTTTTCCTTGTTTCATATCCGGATAGTATATGGCTCATGACAGCAGACACGGATGATGATTCTTATGTCTGTCTTGCAGGCATGGCCACTATTACAAGACAGAAGAAATTTTGAACTAATAGCTGATCCATTGCTTGAAGGAAATTACCCTCTAAAGGGTATGTATCAAGCTCTTGCTGTTGCAAGCATGTGTCTCCAAGAGGAAGCTAGCACGCGACCTTTGATCAGTGACGTTGTTATTGCTCTTGATTATTTAGCATTACCAAATGATGAATCTGGGAGTGAAATAAATGCATAAAAGGGTTTGTGGTAGACATTTACTAAAGCAAGAAAGGAGAGGTGAAATTGGATGTAAATATTGCAATCAGCAGTTTAATACATGATCCTGAAATTTTTGATTTATCAAATATAATAAGAATTGCGATTTTAGAAGTTAATATATAGGAATTCACATAGTATTGGGTTCAGGCTGTTAAAAATGAAGAAGAGCTTTTATATAATGTAGTGCAGATTTTGCACCAGTAGTGGAAGATGAAGGACAAAATCTGCACTAGAAATATGCCCTTTTTGGCACATTTTTTAACAATGAAGGAAAACATATTTTAGCAACTTTGAGCATATATAAATATATGTATACATATAATACAGTTTTTTTTCTTTTCTCAGAAAACAGAGTTTTATCACTCACGATGAGCACCTGGTTTTAATTTCAGAAATGTGAAAGGGTAACAGAGAAGGATCTTGACCTCGTTATGAATGCAGTGGCTTCTTGTTGTTTTCTTGTTGCAGTTAGTTTTGGGTTTTTTTTTTTTTTTTCCTATGAACTTCAATAGGTCTCTTTGTTTCAATTTGATCTTCTGTTGGACATTGAAGAGCAATGAATTATTGGGATTAATTATCAACAGCATAACACACATTAACTAGCACACACTTGCCCCTCTGCAAGTGTAGAGTTTCTGTTTATCCAACCAATATAATGCAACAAAATTCTGGCTGAAAACAGTCTTGTCTTTTGATTCAAGGCTTCATTGTGCCTTATTTATCTTTGGGGTTTGACAATTTAATTTTGGAGGGATACAATTCTTGATTATCATCGATCACTTGTTTTATGCTGAAAATCTTAATTTTCTGCTTCTTGCTTGTTCAAATAATTAAAATCCTCTTCTGATGGCCATTCATGTATGGGTTTTAGCTTTACTTCTCAATTATGGATGGTCCAGAATTCGATCTTAAAAGAGCGGTATCTGTAAACTATAGTTATTGATCTCTTACTGCTTCTGAACTTGTGGGAGTTGCTCATTATGTTTGACAATAATCTGTAGGTAGTTGTACTACTTGTATTGATCTGTGTGTTTGTGTGTGTGTGTGTGTGTGTGTGTGTGTGTGTGTGTGTGTTTTCTTGTACTTTACGTTGCCAACCCTTTTCTCAGAATTAGAGCTTTTCTTGTTTGATAAATGAACCTATCTCTATTTTTAGGTTCACCATTACAATAGTTGGTTGTATTACTTGTATCCATCTCACATCTCTGCTAGTTTTATTATAAACAGTACAAGCCAACTGACATGAAACTAACAAGGTAAATCCTCGAAAATACACAACTGCTACATATTCTAAGTATAGCTCCTGCCTTCTGGTTCGATCTTTTTCCTGCATGCCATTAGCCATAGAAAGATTCAACAAACAATAGCTTCTTCCCTGAATCCAACAAACAATAGTAAGACCTAGTTGCTACAAAGGGTGGTAGAGGCTATGTCAGAGTTGGGACAATCAGGATGATTTGTTCCCCTATGACCTGGGAAATGAAAATCATGAAATGTCAGGTACACCAAATTTTCTCGGGAAAAGGTTCTCCAAAAGCACACATTTGAGCCCCTGAGATTATACTGCTACGCCACAAAGATTATGACCAAAAGATCATCATTGAATGAAACAAGGCATCAGACCGCCAAGGGCTGTAACCCAATAGTACTTTCTCACCTACCAAAATAGAAGGTCGGGGGTTTAAGATCCCACAAGGGCGTGTCGATGTTTGAGTTTCTTTCTCGGATAAACAAAAAATGAAGCAAAGGAGATGAGAAAAATCAATACCATGACCAAGGTACCCAAGAAAAGGACCTAATAAAACAAGAGACAGTGTCAGGAAAGTTGCCATCAGATCACTATGGTTGGCCCTGACAAATTTGCTTTATATACAACTAAAAGAGGGGTCTAAAACTGTTGAAGATGTGGAAAAAAAACGTATAAGATCATTGTCTAAACCTCAAATTTCTTCACGTCAGCTTTGAGGTTCATGTAATTGAACCCTCGAACCCCATTCAGCCGATGGCTGTCTGCAACTTCAACCGCGGAGCAGATGTTCTGCAGGAACCTGCCGCTTCTTCTCTTCTTTCTTCTCCATGTCATTGACAAGAATCCGAAGCTAGGCCAGAAATTCCCACTGCTAGAAGCCATGTCCATAATTTGCCCCCGAGGCTTAAGGTCTAACTGGAGCCTGCTGAAGTACTCAATTTCCTTCATGACAAGCGATCCAACAGTGCCTCGCGTGCCTACCTTAATGGGAGTGTTTGCAGCCATTTCTTCAGAAAACTTGTTTGTCATAGTGCTGGTTTTATACAGCATTTTTGGTCATGATTGAAGTGACATTTGAGGTTTTTGGATGAAGAAGAGTGGTGGGTTTGTGTCTCTTTCTGTTTGGGAGGATTGCTTTGAGTTTGGAGCATCTCTTCTTCTCTGCTTTATAATGAGTTTATAAACATGCTTTATTCACAGTGGACAGCGTGAGATATTGCATAATTGGAGTTTTAAAAGGAGATGTGATCATCATATATTCTATTCTCTTTAACCGAAAAATTGTAAGATTTTATGATTATCTATCAATTAACCTTTCAGCCTTTTTGAATTCTTGGGGTCATGGCAATTGTTTTTCCATGTGACACTTGACATCATGATCACTGTAATTGAGATTGATAATCATGTTTTCTGAAATGTTATTACTGCACCTGAATTATCGCAATCAAAATACAAACCTATATCCAATATGCTAATGGTTAGAGGCAATAATAGTTTAAGTTTTTAGGTCAGATTATAAGCGTCCTGTAAGTTACAAAAGTTGTAAATGCATCAGAGCAGTACTTCTTCCGGTGTCACGCCGAGCACTCACCAACTGAATGGTGTCTGAGTCCAAGTCGTTACTAGGTCCTCATGCCGTTGGGAATAAGGGTAGACAGGATAATCCGACCGCAACAAAGATGTTGCGAGTTTGGATGGAGAAAAATATTAAAAGGCAGCTCCACCTAACAATTTAAGTTTCTGAATTGGATAAAAAAAACATCCCTCATTATACTAATACCGTCTAGAGCAGGCGGTGATCTAAAAGAAGCTTTAGGTGAAATTCTATTTTCTGATCCTGGCTAGGGGGAAAAATTGATGTGTATCCTATTTGATGAACCAAATTGAGCGCTTTTTAGGTGTGGTGGTCCTAGCTATTCTTGCTTTCTCTAGTACCTTTTACTTTTGTATAATTGATTATATTTTAAAAGTGGGATGATGGAATAGATTGAATATAACCCACTTTTATGCACATTGTGTGGTACTCAATTCCTAGTGGTAAGAGATATCATTTTATCAACATCTATATTGTAATGCAATAGTTTTATATAGTCTTATCAGTGATCATGCTTCAGCCATTCAATAATTTTCAAATTTCCGTGCAATCCATATTATATTTATCACTTTAAAGATGTATCTGCTACATCCCACCTCTCTAAGAAAAAAGTTATTGATATTTATGCGTGTGGATATTTTTTAATTATATAAACGTATTTTAAAAATCAATTATAAGTACGAATAGTATACAAAGCGAACAATATTTACACAAAATGGACTAACCGTGAAAAATAGTATTAGAGCTAATCCCCAATCAGAAATGGGGGAGTGTACACAAACCTTTATCAGACCAGCAAGAAAACCGGGTTCAAAAAGGGATGATTGTTACATCTCACATCCTCCGGAGAAAGTGGTTGTTGGCTCTTATTTACATGGACAATTCTTAATTATATAAATATATTTTAAAAATTGTGAACACGAAGAGTATGCAAAGTATGCAAAGTGAACAATTTCTACACAGGATGAACAAGTCATGACATTACCTCTTTATGCTTAGGAGGTGGGGGGAGGTCACCTAAACATCAATATAACAAACAAGGTCAAAAAAATTTATTCTTCTTTCGTTGAAATGATTCATCATTGCTAATTGATATGAATAAAGACATTTACCCAAGGAGGGTAAAAATTATTCTTCTTTTTGTTGAAATGAGTCATTATTGCTAGATATGAATAAAGGAGGAATTTGCAATTTTAATCATGAATATAGACATATATTATGTACCAGCAATAGCAGAGGAGATGACATTTAAAGAAAGCCGAAGTCACTGATTAAGCAGAGCTATTAGAGAATTTATAAATCGGATCTAGATTAATGAGTATTTAGAATACATTGATTCCACCTCAGTTTTCTAATTGATATCACCAAGGAAATTTCACAAACTAGAACTGAATTACTTGGAACATAAATGATTTTCTGAAGAAAAATATGAAGATTAAGAATATGATAATAGCAGGGGGCAAATTTCACGCCACATTTAACAATGAGAAGACAAGGGACTATCAACCCAATTTTATAAATTATCTTATTTGTTATTATAATTATAATTATTTATTATTACTACTATTTTGTCGTGGCAAATAACTCAGAGTGTTCAATTTGTTCTTACAAAAATTTTAATCCTTTATTTAAAGAACCAGTAATCCAGGTCATGTTGCGTTTGTTCTTTCAAAGAATTTAATAACAATAAAAATTGAAAATAGAGAACACCAAAAATTTACCTAGAGATGGGGTAATTAAACTCTAATCTTAGAAATCCATTTTTAGGAAACAGGCAACCAAATAATTCTTGTAATTATTTTCTTTCCCTTTTTTCCCCTTCTAAAAACAGAAAACTGTCATCCTAAAATAAAACCAATTATCTTGACTAATTCAATTGTTAAACAGTTACTCCAAGGACACTCACCTAGTAAATTATTTAAGAATAAGGTAGGTTGGTTTGATTTTTTTATTTTTTTCTCCTTCACTAATTTGTTTCTTTTCATTTGAAAAAAATAATAATAATAATTTACGAGGAGGAGGTATTTCATGATAATACCCAGAATCTCTATGTGAATTCACTGCCCTATGGAGTTAACATTTGATAGTGCTTTTCTAGCTACTGAAAGCAACCAAATTCCAAATGCTACCAAGTTGTTGCTTAATTCATCAGCAAATTAAGATAGCAATATTTGGACCGACTCAACAACGTATTTCTATATCAAAACATTACATCAAGGAGGCAAACCTAGTCACCACCCACCCCAGCCCTATTTAATTTGGGCAATTTAATACACTATTTCCACCAAAAAGCATATGTCAATAACCATCCACAATTCCACATTTTATATTAATAAATGACTATTAATTGTTAATGTTACACACACACACATTTTTTTATTTTTTTATTTATTTATTTATTCTGGCAATAAAAGAAACATCCATACGGCATCTACAAAGAGCGCCGTAGATGCCGTACAAAGACAAACAAATCATGAAACAATAGAAGAAAAATTGAAGAACGGGCTTCATATTTGCTGAGAAACAACGCAACAGCGAAAACCACCACCAAGAGAGGAAAGCAACAAGGGAAGTGACCCACAGGTCAGACCATCATCAAGGCAATTGTTCCAAGATTACATCCACAAAGCGCCGCCGACGGAGAAGAAACCCTCCAAACCCCGCACAAGAGGCGGGGACAACAAAACCCACATAGAGACGGAAACCACAAAACCCACACAGATCGGAGATCTAGCCGAAAACAAAAAAGCAGATCTACCCCATCAAGCCAGAGACAAGCCTAACAAGAACAGATTTAACAAAACAATAACAAAACGGCGTAAAAACCCATCCACCGAACGACTATTTACAACACGCTGAGTTTATTACGCGGTGGGAGGCAAGGATCGGCACCTCCCCACTCCCATGGGAGGGGGTGGGGAGCAAAACAGAGGAATAGAACGAAGGGGGCGGCTGGGGTTAGAGAGAGGCCAGAGAAAAAGAAGAGAGAGAATGGAAGAGGTCCAAATGCTTTCTGTTATACACACATTACCTATTATCCCAAAATGCAAATATATTTTCCCTTCTCTTCTTCTTTTCCCTTTGTTTAGAAAACATGTTTGCCTTGCACAGTTATCTTAAAATACATTTTTTACCTTCTTATTTTTGTGACACAATAACCCAACATTTTTTTATATTATTTTTCTTTAGCTAAGTTTGTTTGGATGTAAAATATTTTTTTTTTTTTTTTTTTTTTTATTGTCATAAAATATATTTACGAAGAAAAAATATATATCAAAATCTAACAAAAATTACTTACTCATCAAATTTCAAGAAATTATTTTACACGTCTCATCCGATAGACTCAACCTCAACCTAAACTTTCGCCAAATACCAAAAAATAAAAAATAAAAATAAAAATAAATAAATATATATATATATATATATATTACCTAAAAATAGGAAATATTTTCCGATAAAGATAATTTACATCGAAACAAATGGAGCTTGAGGCCTTAAAGTTGCAGCTTGCAATAGATTTCTAGCTCTACACCTTAAGGTTCGAACTTCAAGCTATCAAACACTGTAATGTACATAGTAATAAAAAAAATTAAAAAATTCAGGCTATTAAGTGTAGGTATGAGTAGTTAGATCCAAAAGAAATTACTTTGTTTGAATAATACCAAGTATTAGGTCTATACCCCAACTCCCAAGATTAGGTGTCAACACCTTCGATTAAGGGAATACATACTACATGATATACAACAATTTGAACTTCGAACTTTCTTCCCCAACAACCCTTTCTTAGAGTATGTAGCCAAAAATTAACCATCAGTTTAAGGTTTTGACAATAATTCAAATGCAGGTCTGAGTGGTGCAAACATTGAATAAACATACTACAGAAAGACACACGTGCAACGAACTAAAGACATTTATTATAACAGACATGTTGATTCCCAAGCCTCAAAATTGAATGTTCCCTCTTATTGTATCAATTATTTTACTCATGAATCTATATTATTTTCTCTTCTTTTTCCTGTTTTTTTTTTTTCTTCTTGTGGTTTTGATTTTCATTTCTGTATACATTTTGAACAAACTATGGTATACCAGGGAGATGGCACGAATACCTCAACTTCCGATGTGAGGCAAGAGCATGTTGTAGGGCAACATCGACTTTCGCACCTTCTCGAAACAATGAATCATATAATTGACAGATAAACTGAGACAGTTCCTCCTCATCAGCATCCCAAAACCGCGTTGACCGCTCCACGCTTCTCTCGGGCTCACTGTCTTCCCAATCGCTCCCTGGACTGGCAGGCTCTTCCTCTTCATCTTCTACTTCATCCTCTCCAATCTCAAACTTCCCATTCTCCAAAGCACTAGACTCACCTGATACATTGAATGTTGTCAACGGCGTTTCTTGGGGCTCAACTGAAGAACATATAACAGCTTTGGCACCGGAGTCTAGGAAGGCCTTAATTAGAGATGGAGTAGGCCCACATGTACCCGTGCAAACTATGATCCTGTCCCTCCAAGCTCCAGCCTGCAAGTTTCAACAAGATACAATGCAATGGTTAAATCAGCAGAAAGAAAATTCAGTGATACTTTTGAAGAACTGACTTTTAGGTTACTAATAGCCTCATTCATATAACTTGTGGTACAAAGCCATAATACCCGGGGAAAAATATCCCCATGACATTACCAAACAAAAATTGGCAAAAAAGATCAAGATTCTAAGACCTTTATTGAGTCAGATAATTTAAGAAACTACAAAACTAAAGATGTTTCTATCACAAACTAGAGAATGTACCGCAATTCATAAGGTTGTAGTAACTCTATGCTAACAGTGAGACCCTAGGGAACAAATGTCATTGGTGAGAGTACCATGAGAAACATTAACTCCCAAAGTTTCAGGAACTTTGCACATATTACTTACTACTCTGGATTGAAAGCAATTCTCCCAAGTAGATCATCTGATTGTGTGGGTCAATGTCCCTTTTCTCGGAGAATTTGATTCATCTACCCTTTAAAAATAACATTAGAACTCTTCTGGATTACATTAATAAAAAATTAAAAAAAATCTCCTGAAACAGTCTACAGAAGAACTTGAGGATATGGTCCATTTCGAGGGAGAGAAGATGAGAGGAAAGATGTGGGGAGGAGAAAGGGAGGAAGGATAGAGGTTCTGGACTTTTATAGGAGGGAAAGGGGAGTTGAAGTGATCAAGATCAAGGCACTAATTTGAGTGCAATAGATGATCCATTAGGACTACTTTGATTTAATTTTATTTATTTTAATAAGTGTATTTGGAGCGGATTTGGTGGATCTAATTGCAATGATTTAAATTTGATTTGGCATGGTTGCATTGTGATAGCAAGGAGTGGGTGAAATTATGTATTAAATGGTTATTCATCAAGTTGCTCCTTTGCCCCTTACCTCAATAGTAGCACTGCCCAGAAGGCATAGCACTACAAGGTACTAATTATAATGGCCCTGGGATTGTAGCCAACAGCAGCAGCTTGTGGAGAGGAAGAGGTCTTTCTTTGCACAGCTGTCAAAGAAAAGGTCCACCTTACCTCTATTTGAAACAAAAGTAGGAGACAGGCTTTATTTTCACCAATGTTATTTCCATTACTGACGGACAAATCTGTTCAGAAACAGAGCTATTTATACTAGTTATAATTAAGGTCCAACTAATTACTATGTTATGGTGACTTAGAAATGAAATTACCTGAGTCCCAAGTAAATTAACTAAAAACAAGTTACCGAGTATACGTATCGATGCTAAGATTGTAATAGAGAAAATGTGACATTTCATGGATAGTGTTTGTTTTCTTATTCTCGTTCTTTATTCTTAGATCTTGTTTTTAAGCACATGGCTCATGAAGTTTGAAAGGTATGCTAGAAACTACAAAAGCTTGCACTGCAACCAGATTTTGCAAGTTTTCGACCCGTGTTCATTGAGGCCACCATTCTGTACCACTGTATTCTCTATTCCAAGCTACATCAATTGATCTCAGAGCAAGCAAGATCTCTATTGGGCGTGCATCAAACACTTCCAACATAGTGACTAATGCCGAACAAGATGCTAATATTCAAAATTATGGTAATAGGATCGACTAACACATAAGCGCTATACAAGATTCGAGAAGTTCAAGAGAAAATCATTATTGTTAGCAACGGATTAAATATACATTGGGTACTTTGTAAAAAGACAATCTCATGACAGTCCTAGAAAGGCTCATTATATAGACCAGCAAGTAAGAAAACAACAGTTTTTGTTGAAGCCATACTAAAAGAAAAGTACAAGAGCACAAGATGAAATGATGAACATAATGTCAAACCCAAGGATGCCAAGGTTAGTGTTCAGAAGCAAACAAGTAATACTGTTAAATCCTTCGTTACCCTGCTTGTAGATTTTATCATTTAACAGAAAAATTAGTCATATGCAGAAAAGGTTAACTCGCAAAGATTATCCTTGTTGATTCCACGGATATGGTGCAATGACATTGACAAAAAGATGCAATGGATGCAAGGTCAAAGGTCCGAAATTGCTGTACTTCAAAAGAACTCGAGGTCAAGTTTTTCCTAATATGGGATATTGATGTTATCAATTAAGGCACTAGTGGGTACAATGGATGACCAATTGCGCCCTAAAAGAAACTAAGAACGAAAGAATATAAAAAGAGAATGGCTAATTTCTTTTAATTTAGTATTTTATTCTGATGGGTATTTTAGGAACTTCCAGGTAAATCTAGAGATGGTTTCAGTTTATGGGTCTAGTTGTAATGGTTTATTCTTGATTTGGTTTGTTTTTCAACTGAATTTTATTAGGGTCTATGTAACTACTATATTAGTACTACCTGAGGCCAACTAACTTACTAAGGAAACAAGTTCAAGAGAATGTGAAGTGTTGATCCCACCTAGACAAGTGGTAGAAGGGGTGTACTGGAACCCAACTTTAACATTATTTAACACAAAGAATAATTGATAAATCAAAACTGAATACAAAGACATACCATCCAGCGAACATCATCGGGAGTTAAGTGCATAGAAGGGACTGTTCTACGAAACATATATGCCCCAATTTCTTGGTCATCTTCCATAACCTTCACAAACCATAAGAATGACAATCAGTTGCTTTGCACTTCTTACTGATGAAGAGATTATCAAAAAGGAAGAGGAAGAAATCATAGATGCATACTTGAGTTTGACGACCTATATACCGGTGGACAATACATCCGATTTGAAAATATGGAGTAAATGCAACCAGATCAGAAACAGTCGAAATGTTGGAAATGGTAGATGCATCCTTCCTGCGCCGGCCCCGCATCATTGACAGCAAGCTAAATTTAACACTCTGAAGAAACTTATCTGCAAGTTCTCCAGGTTCAGCAACCACAAATACATCATTCTGCCAACTACGGAGAACACATCCAGCAGATTAGGAATTCAGTCAAACTACACTTACATGTGAAAGCAATATAAAAGTGAAAAAGTAAAGGGAAAATTTCACCTTAGTATTGAGCCACATGTGTCATTTTGGAGAGCCAAATGAATAATTCCAACCTGTGGTGAATTCTGTAATTTCTCGTGCAATGATCGGACTGGCAAAGAGAGCTGCTTCGGTCCTTTAGGAGACTCGGGTGGTGAAGCAGCTGTTTTTCCAGATTGAAATCCATCCAAGCTTAAAGGTGGGACTAAATCAATTCGACCCAACCTCTGAGGTCCAACATCAGGACTATATAGAAGTGGGCTTGATGGAAAGCTTCCAGTGAACAGAGGCGAAGTAAAAGGTGTTGGAAATGTTGTTCCTGGTACTGCCTTTAAGGTTCCATATATCCCATTCACAAGAGATAATCTTATTCCATTACTAGCACAATATGTCTCAAGTGATCGAGCATGATGGAAAACTCTTCCCGAATCAGAACTATGAGAAGCTTCCACAAGTAGCACGTTACGTCTCCAACCTAAAGAGGGGCTGTTCCCGTCTATCAATGTTAAAAAACAAAAAGAATGTAAAATTAAACCATAAGGACATTGTAAAGAACATGACCGATAGGAAGCAAATATGGAGAAATTAGAAATATATACCAGAATTTAAAGCCTTTCCTTTGGGGAAATTTTGAGATTTAAAATTGTCTGACAGCTTCTCATCTTGCTGGTACTGAAGCAATTTTTCACACATATTCTTAAAGGCCAGTGAGTTGATTTGGATGTACTCCTCTGTTGCAACCTCTAACTTCTGCCAGACTATGGGATCAGTCTCATCTAACTCCATATCACAACGTTCATCAACTGCAAGTGCAAATGAATACATAAAGCTACAAAAGTAAGTGTTAGTCCCAACTACTTGAGGATGCTATCACCATTCACTTTCTCTAGGTTACAAGGCTGCTCTTTACTATATAAGTATATAAACTATAAAATTTGGAAAAACAAGAAGCAAGAATGCTGGAATCTATTTCAAGGTTAACCAAAGGAGCAAACTTATTACAACACAGGCTAAAGCGTAACTCCTAGAAAAGAACACCTCACCTGGATTGAACCGATAGTATTGTATATCTGGAAGCATAGGAAGCAATGTGCTCAAAGCTTCCTCCACTCGATCCACTGAGCATGCACTCTCAATCAACACTTGCCCAGTATCCAAATAACGCCATCCGCCCTTCCGAACCTAAAACAGCAGGTGTATTTATTAATCAAGGAAATAATGTACAACATTAAAAAAGTTCAACCACACCAAATAAATCAATTACTACCACCACAATCTTCAAGTCCATGAGGATATACTTGAATCTTGAGAAAGATAAAAATTAAAAAATAAAAAATAAAAAATAAAATAATAATAATAATACTCCACAAATCAGAATGAACAATTCCACAGAAAAACAAAATTTGCAGTTACCTTTGTTGGTACTGAACCGCATCCAATGGAAACTAAACAATCGATTCTTGTATCTGGCCACAAAAGTTGTGCTTCTCGTATAGCAAAAATAGTCGGATTATTAGCCACAATAGCACCATCTTGCCAGCGATATACGTCTGCAGGAATTATGGAAGGAAAGAAATCCTTAGGACAACGTAAAGATGTAAAAATTCAGGGAAAAAGACAAACTACAACTAATGAGCCACCGAAACCACAGGAAAAGAATACCTTCAGAAAAGTCATCAAGATAATATGGAGCGGCAGATGATGCTCTTATAGCTTGCCATATATGATGCTTACAACTTCCAATAAAAGCACTGCGTTTATATCCAACTTGAGCACCGGTTGTAGCTGTTCCTACCCCACTAGTTGATAAACTTTCTGAAATTGGAAAAGGCATCTCTGGTGTGCCAGCAGGGTACTACAATTTGGGGGGGAAAAAAGAAACGTTTTAAAAGCGCAATAACAATACTAGACCTAAAACTTATCAAAATATCAACATTTATAAATTCCATTGACAGAGTAACGATGAGTAAATATCAAACAAAACTCTTTGATCCTTTTTTTTTTTTTTTTTTTTTTCATAAACAATTAAGAAATTCTCTGTATGGAACCTGGTAATTGCGGAATATAAAAGGTTGGGCTGGCACCACGCTGACCAGAGTTGACACTACAAAAACCTTGGGAACACTTTTCGCTGCTGACTCTATTAAAAGGTCTCCATCCTCATCAGCGCACATTTCCTTCAACAACCTTTCAAACTGATCTGCACTATGCTGCAAGACAATACATGATAGCGTCTTTTTCAGGGTATAATGAATAATAACATTTCTGAGAGAATGAACACTCATAATTATCTAACTACATCAATTCAAACATATCTGTTTGGTCAATAGGACCTACGTGGGCAAATTTCATAGAACAAAAATAAAGTCTGTAACCTTTTTTTATTTCTAGCTCAGGTTAGAAGCTTTCAAAAGTTAGTAGTGTTAGTTATTACCTCCCAAGGTCGAGGAAGGAATTACAAGCTTCATTCAAGAGTATTTCAGTAATCTCCGCCTATAAGGGTATAAACGTTGTACTATCTTTTTGTTAACCTTGGTTGTACTGTCTTTTTCACACAGAAGATTTTGGTTTGCCTGGAATAGGTCCGGTAGATTTTCCCTTGGGGTTCCACACAAAAATCTTTAGTGTTCATTGCTCTATTCTTTATCTGCTTATAATTGCTATGGATTGTTGGTTTTTTATGTTCTGCTATGTTTTGAAAAAAATCTGTTCATTTAGTTTCAAACTCAAAAAGTTGTTATTTTAGGTCATTAGTTCTACAAGACCTATTCACTCCCCCTCCTAGGTCTAGATCACAGACCTTGCACAACTCTCCATCAAAGCCTCAGGTTTCAGCCCTTTCCCATTAATACCTTAACAAAAAAAATACCATAGAGCAAAGGATGAGGACATATAGCCCCAGGAGGGTTTGGGGGAGTGGTGGAGTTGTAAAAGATACAAAAATAGAAGCACACATACACTGCAACACAAATGTTACATATCCAATGTATTTAACATATAAAAGAAAATATCATTAAACTAATTTCCTAGAATCCAGAATATTACGTTACAACTACTTTCTTGAGATTTTTACTATTAGGGATCACAAAAAAGCCATGAATTTGGGGCATACAACATTTTTCATGGAATGCAATGAAAAGAATAAAGTGTATTCCGTACTTTAGATCCATGTACAACAACTCTGAAACTCTGTGACGAGCTTTTGTAAATCTGATCAAACTTTTCTCTCCATGTAGCTGCTTCATTGTCCTTCGGCACAGGTTCAGCAAAGACAAGTTTCCCTAAGGAACCATTTTATCAAAAAGGAATGAATTACAAAAAATAAAAAATAATCAAGCAGTTGAAATGACATTTTGTTAATGCGGTATTCTCACCAAGTTTCTTGTATATCTCTTCACACTTTTCCAACGACATTAATTTGATTCCAAGAGCAACAGCAAGCATACCACCCGTTGAAGTGCCGCAGATAAGGTCAAACATCTCATGTATTTGCTTCCCAGTTCCCTTCTCGATTTCTTTTAAAATCTGCACAGTTGCCAGACCTTTCATGCCACCTCCATCCATCGAAAGTATGCGTAATCCTTGCTTTGGAACCGGTCTCCCTCTAATAGCACGCCGCAGATTCTCATTCTCCCCTAGGATGGCACATAATGGAGAGACCAATTTGCATTAAAGTGCAAACAATCTCAAAATATACAGAAGATACGATATAAAGAAACAAACCAAGAATTGCCAAAGCACGAGCTGCAGCTTTATTTACGCGTGGCTCAGATGCAAGTGTCAAGCGCATAAGAAGTTCTCGCAAACTTTCAGAAGTAACAAGAATACGGCGGTTCTCCAAGCAAAAGGCTAAATTTCCAACTGCTAATAAAGCTAACCTTTGTACCTGAAGCAGGATGAAAGTTTAAGAAGGCCATGGAATATAAAGGGAAAATATAAAAAGGAAATTATGATTACAAATTTGTCAGCTTGCCTCCGGGTTTTTATGAGGACATAACATTTTCAATGATTTCAATACATCCTTGGTCAACATCTTTTGAGCCGCACTATCAGATGCAAAAGCCAAGTTGACCACAACTTGCAACACAGAAATTAATTCTTCCAAGGCAACAGATTTCAATACTCTTTCAATGGGTTTCATGATGTCGCATTTCATCAACTGCATTGCCACAGAAACATCTGAAGCAAGAGATGAAAGAGCAGAGCATGCTTGTTCAACCTGAGAGAAAGTACAAATATTTAAACAAAGTGTAATAAAAGGTACAATGCGCTCACAAAAGCTACAATGCGCTCACATACCACATGACGGTTGTCACTACTTATCATACTTATGAGCTGCCGCACAGCATTCTCGTCTTTACCAACAACTACCCGGTTTTCTTGGTCTTCCATTATCTTTGCCAGGGTAGATGCTAGCAAAGGGTGATGACAAGAAGAGAAGCGAAATATCAGAGAGAAAAAGGCACTCATTTTGTGTCGAGCAGCACCAAAATAAGAACTGTTCTCCATCTGCAGTCACCCCGCAGAAAAGGTATATCTTTAACTTACAAAGGTAAACTGGGAAAAAAAACTGCAAGCATTGATGTAATGTCCAATACCTCTATTTGCACATTTACCGACCGAAGATTTTCATCAGCCACAATCCTAATGTTTGCAAGAGACAAGTGACGAAGTTTGTGTAGCGGTAAAATATCAGGAAGGAATTCAAGGGGATTACCGAACAGCCTAAGAACACGTAACTCAGACATAGCCCTGCCATTACACTGAAAGGAAGCATTAGACCTAGGATAAAATTCTAGACATTGAAGTTCATTAAGAAACTAGGTAAAACAAAAAGGAGGCAAATAATTCAGGGAAAAAAAAAGAAGAGGCAAATAAAGATGTTCATATGCTAAGGAATTGACCTGAAATCTAGAAGAGGCCGGACCAGCTTGTTGTGTTCCAGTGACAATTCCACCAGTCCAACACACTGCCTCAGTTCAACTGCTTACAGTTTCCAATCAAGATAAGTTTATGGAAGATATGTTCTAGAATTCCATAATACAAGGCATTTTTTACTAAATTAAAAAAATAAAATAAAACATTATTCCTAGCTTACCGGGCACTGAAACCAGCATGTTGTAGTCAACCGTCAGAACTTTCAAGTTTTTCAGCTCACCGAGCTCAGATGGCAAAATAGATAACTTGTTGTTATCAAGGTATAGCTTCTCAAGAAGTGGCAATTGAGTTAACTCTACTGGCAATACCTGCCAACAAGAACACAAATAATAATAATCTAATGGTTAATTCAATTATGTACAAACAACATAAAATAGTTATTCCATTTGCATACAGCTTGTTGCCACACATTAGCGATTGACTTGTTGACAACTAGAAACTCCAAAAAATACAACCAATCATAATTTTCAGACATATGCAAATAAACGACTAAAGAAAAATATGGGAAAATACAACCAAAAACAGGAGTGAAAGTCAGTGAGTGCTAAAGCCTACATCCACAGGCAACTCAAAAAGAAATGATTAAGGAACAATGGAAGAATTCACAGCAAGAGGTTTCGTATGTAATTCTATAAGAATGATGTACAATACACCCTCCCTAACAAGTAAATAATTCTCAAGATCCCTTTTAATCCTAAGAACACTATGAAATCACCCCAAGACACAAAAACACACACTTGGTAAGGATAAACCCCTCTCTTGTTTTCAAAATACCCTCTGTCAAGGATGTAGGAAATAATCCACTTCTGAATACATGTTCCATATCTTAAGTCAACAAAACACATTCCTAGGAATCCCATCACTAGAAGAAAAAACACCAACTTAAAATTAAGAAAACTGGTGTGTGATTTTTATCACAGCCTTAGCAAATCTCTGGCTTGAAAGAAAATCGACACCTGCTATCATTAACCAATGACTTTAAAAATTGTTCGGGATGAATGAAGGAACTTAGCAGTACCATATATTTTCTACCAGCATCAACTTTTCTTGGAGGGATTAGATTTGAATTTTGAAGCCAAACCAAAATTGAAGACCCCCCGGACTAAAAGTACTAGCATGCACTATATGCTAAAGTGGAGCATTAAAATTTTGATGCTTCCTTTAGTAGATTGTTTTCTAGTCATTGAACCCACTTAAAGAAGGGAGAGGGGCAACAGTAACTAAAAACGACTCCAGAAGTTTAAAGAAGACATAATGGGAGTGTTCATTAGGTTCAACTACCATTAAAATTAATTTCTTTGACATTCTACATGATCAATTGCAATATGACTCACACCCCAGATTAAATGAACATTCTGGTAAGACATGAAAAGATGATACTGAAAAATGCAATTTTTTCTTTGACATATTCAATTGTTCTCTCATTCTCAAGCACTAACCAGCATTTGTTCTCTCATTCTCAAGCACTAACCAGCATCAATGCATATGAAATGAACATCAAAGCCAGAAATTCAATTTCAATCATGTATCGATGCTAACCAACAAGATTTATACCAATTCAAAATTTTGGTTTCTCCGAGTTGACAATTTAATTTCCAGGAAAAATAATCAATGTATACTCAAAATTCTCAAATTTTCCTCAGGTTGTTAGCAACCAAACTGTTATAAGAACAAAAATAAATTAATTAAAGAATCATAAAATTGATGTAAACACTTACCGACAAGCCACAACTACAGAGGCTGAACACACTGACGCTCTTCCAATGATCCGCATAACCCATCACCCCATCCCCAACACCCGAGACCGATGTCCCGAAATTTGACTTCAACAGCCTCGTGAGAACCCCAATTCCATCCATCTGCTGCCCTGCGCCGCCGGCCCTCGACATCGTCACAGCACGAAGCGGCTCTCTCCGCTTTATAACCTTCATATCCACACCGACATTGCCCTCATCTTCCTCCGAGGATTTCAATTCAAGAACAACGGTGTCCTGCGGCAAAGGCAAAGCCACCATCAGCTGCGATTGCAACCTCAGCGCCACCTGATCTTCGTCATCACCGGCAGTCCAATCCAGATCAATTCTGAACCCTAGCTCATCATTTTGCAACGACGATGTCGATGATGACGACGACGTTGACAGAGGACTACGATCCGCAACAGGTTCTTCGGTACCATAGTCTAACGCCAAATGGAAGATCTCTGATGGTCGCTTCCAACCCAATCCCCAAGACATTGTTACGGAAATTCAACTGTTTTGATTCAATGGAGATCGGATCCAACTCAATTCAAGAATTTAATCGACCATTTGAGTTAAATGTTTGAAGAACCTTGTGTGACTGAAATCAGGGTTTAAAAGATAGATTGTGCCCGACATTAATAGCAAGATTAGGGCTATATATATATGTGTGTGTGTTTATGTGTGTAGGGAGAGAGAATGTAATTGGAATATGCAGATCAGAAAGTGAAAGTGAATGCACTGTAAGTTATAAAGCTGTTTCTTTTCGTTGTCGAAATTTGCTATCGAACCAGTCCGCAACGACGCCGTCTCAGTCAAAGTATGAAGTTGAGTTCACCTGATTAATGGAATACAAATACAATTTCATTTGCGATTCATCATTTATTTCCGTCGGTAAGTATGTGAGATTGGGAGAATTTATTACATGCCGTGGGACCAATGTTTCGGCCAATAACTATTTACCACATATAAGTAAAAATTAAATAAATTTTGCTAGGTATATATTTTTTAGATTTCAAATAATAATCCGTAACAATGCAATTAATATATTCTGTCAATGAAAATCTAATAAATTAATTTACGGAGACCTTGTTTTAAAAAATGATAAAATTAATTTTATTGTGTGATAAATGTATAGTGAATTTTAATTGATCGGACATGCCAATGATTTGACACACCGAACTGTCCCAAATGTCTTCACCTCCTATTGGTTGTTTAAATGATTTTTAATACAATTTTAATTGTTACTTGAACCACATTTATGATGCTATTTTACCAATTTTAATAGTTAGCAGCACCTGTATTTGATAATGGGCTGTATACATTAAGACTTTCACGTCCCTTGGTGTACAAAATGGAAATAGTTACTTTGGAACTCAATATATTTATCTCGATATTTGAATTATGGAAAATGATTATTATTATTATTATCCCTTTTATTAGTTATTTATTTTGTCCTTATAAATAACATCCAACAATGTTGTTGAAAAGATTTGAACCATACACTTCACAATTTGAAAGGCGAAGAAAGGGCCTATTGAGGATGACCTTTGTTTTATAACCTTAAAAAAAATTTCTTTTTAATTGTCTGAATAAAAAATAAAAAAATATTAATACGGGAACTAAATAATAATTCCATGTGAGCTTCTTTTTTTTTGTGTGATTTAAATAATTATTTAAAAAGCATAACAAATCCCTCCATCTACCTCTACCTCTACCCCCTTTTCTTTGTTTTCTCATTTTAAAACCAAAACATTAAACAACAAGAGCTCATTTTTCTTTCCTTTCTTCAGCAAGCAGCAACTAGCCTCTGTCAAAGGACAAGACATGATCAACCATTTGATTTGTTAAAAGTTCATTTCTAAGAAGTTATTCACAAATTTTTTACCTTTTTTTCCTTTTCTTTTTTAAACGCATAAGACTTTCCCTATCCAACTCACATCACACCCACACTCACTGTACAATAAAAAAAAAGAATAATTTATCACCGTCTATTGAAAACACAAAAGGTAATAATTTTAAAGATTTGCTCATTTGTTTCTCAAACCAGATACAATATGGACACGGAAGGAGTCATAATTGTTTAGGAGATGACCCAAGGAAGAAAAAAAAAAAAAAAAAAAAAAAAAGATTTCAATATAAGGGTGTGGAGGGTATCAACACGCAACAATAATTATATAACAAATTAAGAAAAAGAAATAGAGGACCGCTTCAATTATCAAAATCAGTCAACTTTATTATCAATTTTATAAATCCTACCACCAAAGTGAATTTTATAATCCTATCAATTTTATCATCCACCTCTCATTTGAGAGTTTAAATGGATGTGAATTCTTGCCAACGAATAATAATAATAATAATAATCAACGTTTTGATCCTCATGAAAGAAAGGAACCTTTGCTTTTGTGGTATACAGATGAAAAAGAAAATGAAGATCAAGAATATGCCAATGTTCCAACAACCTCCTAATAGAGAATCCCATATGAAATCTCGTATTTTGGCTGCATTTACATAATTATCCTCCCGGGAAATAACAACCTTTTGAGTAAAAAAGAAACAATGAAAAAAAAAAAAAGAAGACGCTTTGGAATGTCTATCACTGGTCTTATCTCTGATTCTCTTAATCACTCTCGATCTGTAAAGTGACAACATGTGCTGCCTTCAACAAAAATTCCATGCATGTCCCACTTGAAGGGAAATGTCATCCCTATATTGTTTCCAAATCCTACTTTTTTAAAAATAACTTCTTTTTTTTTTTGAAAAAAAAATAATAATAAAAAAAAAAATAAAAGTACACCCACTTCTATCTCTACTAGGGCTTCATCTCTCTACCTAAAGGTTGAGAGGATGCAACGCAATCAAAATCCTCTCCTATGCACCGCGGCATCAGTGCATTGAGAACGGTCGGAATCACACCACACTGCTGGTGTGCCCCCAGAACACTAGATGCTGCTGGAAAGGAATTTGTTCCAGACTAGAGACCTTGTTCTTGGAGTAAATTGATTAGAATTTAGGTAGAATCACCAAAAATTTGGGGGCCAGTTATATCAACAGCAAAAAAAGTCAAATAACTATAAATGCAACCACCAACAGTATTAGCACCCATTCTACCTTCAAACTTCTTTTCTGTAAGAACCAATTATATTTTTGCCTCACTCACAGTCGGTTGTCACATGTCGGCAGACCTATCACGGTTCTATTTATAAACAGAAAGGTAAAGAATTGCCATAAATAGTGCAAATATTTAGCTACCCCAATAGCTTAATCAAATTCCATGTGAGTTAACAACAGTTATTAGTGTTTTCAGCGCTTTTAACAGAGATAAGCACTTGCTAGTGTTCTGACCTTCCACAAGAATTTAATAATATGTAGTATTAAACAACCTTCCATAAGGCACCACCAGCCGCCACCCAAGTGAAATACATACCGCCAAGAGTTTTAATTATCCTCAGGCGAAATCCAGCTTCCTTCCGGCCAAATCAAAAACCTCTCTTACTTCCCTCTTCACCTCATCATTAGCAAATATATATTCAATGCCATTCTTAGCTAGTTGAAACATTTCCTTCTTTCCAAGAACTTGGTAATTGACAAGAGAAACTAGAATCAGTAATGATACGCTAATAAATTTGTATTTCATGCACCGGGAACTTAATACCTACCAAATGTCGAAGAGGCAAGACTGTACTCGGCAGAAAGACTAGTAGAGAATACCCCTGAATCATCAGTGCACAGAACTGTTGGATGTTTTGCATTATACAAATCAGCTGCGATGCCAACAAAATCTTGTTACTGAAGCGATGTGGAATTAATCCACAGCAAATAGATAAACAAGATCTAATAACCAATAAAAATTTAGGAGAAGCTCATTAGAGAAAGATAGCAAGAGAGTTTTTACATTCCTGTCATAAAAATAAAATAAAATAAAAAGAATAAGAAGAAGATCTAACCAAAATGATGAATTTCAATTGATGAAATTGTTGCAGTGCGGATGTTGGATGTCAAACAAATCTCAACCTGCAAGGATGTTGAAGGGGAATAAAGAAGGTAAAAGTTTAGCTGGCCAAACATAAAGTAAGAATGTAAAAGCTTAGGAAAATGATCATGCAATTGTGGCAATTCACAAGCATTTTTGCACATTTTAGGTGACTGAATTCTATTTTAGAGAGGTGAACAAGAACTCTTTACCTCCTTTTTTTTTTTTTTTTAACATGCTGCTCTGTTAGTTTTATCATAAAATGTTTTCCAAAGAATATTTTTCAGTATTGAATATATTCTCCACTGTTTGGCTGATTGGAAAATCTTTTAGGGAAACAAAATAGCTTAAAAAAAGGTATGACTTACAGAATTTTTTTTTTTTTTTTTGTCATTTTCAGAAACATATGCCCAGATGATGGTCATGTGTACAAATCTAAGCATATAAAAATATACATACACATATACATCAACATAGTACGTATATATACACCTATACACACACACTTATATATACAAAAAATATATATGTATATATGTGTTCATGTGCATTTGCGTACATATTTTTATACATAACCAAATATAATTGCCTATCAATCCATATGTAAATGTAACAAGATCCTTGTCTTTGCCTCTAAACACATACTTTTAAATGTTTATAAATTATAATATATTTTCTAAGAATTCGAAACTTATTTTGAAATTTTCAACCAAACACAGGAAAATAAGAATTAAAAAAGAAAGAAAGATATTTTCTAATGTAAAAATATGTTCCAATGTAAAACATTTTGAGTTGAAACAAACAGAGCCCATATTGCAAATATCTGAAGGATGAAAGCTACTCCTAACAGGAAGTCCTGATTTTTGCCTAATTTGACAGTCATAATTCCATCCCCACGTTATGTAAGGAGAAAACTGATATAACCAGTCATCTAGAAGAAAGCATGGCATGGTTTGGTTAAACTTTTTAGACCTATTATACATTTGACTTTTTCCAGTCCAATATAATGTAAGTTACAGAAAAGAATATCCATATGAAATGGGCATAAGTATCAAACCGGAATCTTAAGTGATTTCAGCTTTCCCCATTCTTCCTCTTCAAAGCAACAAGCATGGCCAATTCTTTCAGGAAAAAAATCTAACATCGATTGGATTTCCTTCTGATTCGGTACCTACAAGCACTAAGTTATGAAAATTAACTAGTCAGGGCAATTCCTATTGTAGTTGAGAAGACAAATTCAGAAAAAAGATGCAAGCACTTAAAAATAAAAACGCACCTCTCCGCAGTGAAGAGTGACAGAGAGACCTTGTTCCCTGGCAAACTCTAAAGCTGGCAGAAATGTGCCCCTGCCATGCAAGCTAAGTGAACTCGAGGATTCAAGACCTCTATAGAAAATGAAATAGAAAGCACCTGAATGCTATGTAAAATTTCTGATAGTGAAGAGGTACCATTCACCAACAATAGGGTTGCCAGAAAGATCAATACCCACTACACCCATATCTCTCATTTCCATCGCAAGCTTAACCTTTAAGTTCAGAGTAAAAGAAATTAGAAGTTATGAAATTATACGTCTTGCCCACTGAACAACATACAACCTCAAAAAATACAACTCACTCACAGTTTCAATTGCAGATGCAGTAGTCTCACGACGGTCAATGCTGAGTAGAAGTCTAACATATATCTTCTTTCTTACAGTTCCATTACATGTATCAGTTATGCTACTCAAGTTATGAGGAGCATAATCAACATCAACCACGCTGACAGACCTCAAACCCTCAAGTACAGCTTCCATGTAAGAGCGCTTGCTCATCCCTATAGAATCATTCCTCTGTAAAATAAAAAAATAAAAAATCAAACAAATGATTCCTCTGTAATCTAGCCCACTGTAATTACCCAAGAGCAATGCTATACGGACTAATTTCTCTAACGAAAACCAATATTGATTGACATCTCTTCTTTTCATTATATAGCTAAGACCATTGAAAAGCAATTCTAAAAACACAATTTAAGTACCTTAGGAGTTGTTCTTAACTCCAGATAGACAACATTCTCGGCAGCGAAATCTTCAACAACCTATTTGTGTAGTGAAATAAAAGTAGGCAAATTAGTGTTAAAAAATTGCAGAACAAAATTTTAAATTTGGGGTTTTCATACTTCTTTTGTTATTCTTGTAACAGTTTTATGGTCAGTAGTAACAATGTGAATCAGATCAAACAACTTAAACACTTCGTGGAGCGAACGGTCGTCTGCAAGAGTGAGAGAGAACACAAGTATTTCATTCAAGTATCAAGAAAGATAATGGAAGAAAACAATGTCAAAAGTGAAATCAAAGAGAGAAATTGTGCATACTTTTCAGGATAACATGTTCTACTTCAGAGAAATTTATGGTGCCCTTTTCACCCAAAACTCTACCAAGTTCACTGTGCAAAAAATTCAATCCCAAATTGTCTAAGAATGAGATAAATTAACTGGGCAATCTTCAAAACTACAAATATTTATACTTTTTTCTCTTTCTGGGTGTTAAGAAATGAAACCCTAAAAATATATTTACACATCTATACAGATATAAAATGAAATTGGAGTTATAGTGAGAGAAAGCATACAATAGAGTGGAGTCTCTAATGGAACCATTGAGGTGAGCGTGTAGTTCCACCTTGGGCATCGACAAATACCAATCCATATCTGCCTTCCCTGGTTTCTGCTATTTCTTCTTCTTCTTCTTCTTCTTCTTCTGGTCAACAGTCAACACTGATAACTGCTGAGTACTGTAGCTAGGGCATGTCTTGGAATGAGATATACAGTTTCTATATTAGTTGGGGAATCATGAATGTGTACTACACTTCCAAAAAAAACACCAAGAATGTACTACTATATTCATTATATATATATTTGTGAAAGTCAGTGGTCATGTTAGAAATAACCGAAGGTTAGGGTTGGAATTTGGAATGAAAATAAACTCCACCTTGGTTTGTTTATAGGAAAATGGATAAAGTGTAAAAAAAATCAATTATATTTGAATTTGTAAATAACTCTTTAAATTATATTTTATACATAAAATCCTTTAAATTATTACATTTTGATACAATATATTTCAATATTCATAATGTATTTCATTAAATGATTATAATGTCCCTTCTTATTGAATTACATTTAGGGTAAATTATACACTTCATCTGAGAATTAGAAGCAACCTTAGAAAAAAAGTTTAAGACTTGCGAAGCCCGGAACTTATTTCGATTAATAATAAATATATAAATAAATACCCTTTTATTAGTTATAGTTTATTTTTTCTCTTCATTTTTATGATAATTTTAAACTTTAACTACTTTTTTGTTATTACGATTCTTAAGTATTTGTCTTTTCTTAATTTATCTTTACAAAATTTGTTCAAGTTTCAATTGTTTTATTAAAAACATATGTTTAGAACTCGCCCAGATGCGAGACGAGAGGTTTGAGAAGAGTTTTTTATTCGTGAGCCGAGTTTGGGATATGTGTGCCCGTCTTGAACCCACGCGATTGACATATGTGAAGTGTGAGGTATAGTGAGCATGCTTGAAAATTCTAATGTGGTGGGGGATAAATTTTTGGGTAAACTCCAGATACACCCCTTGTGTTTTATTAAATACATCAAGACCTACTCACATTTACAAATTATCAGTCACGCCCTTTACCTTTTGCTGACACACGTCACTTTCACCCTCCTTGAATGGTCAAAGTTGGTCAAACACACTTTTTGCTGACATCATCAAAAAATTATAATGTCCAGATTACCCTCCAATGTTGATGTTTGGCCACAAAGCTAGACTAAACTATATACATGTTTGGTTACACAGACTATATATACTTTTTTTTGGAGGGGTGCTAAAACTGTCGTAAGTGTCAGCAGCCTATTGGCTGTTGACTTTTTTATTTGTCATCTTCTCTCTTTATTTTCTCTACCTAGTAAACCTTCTATAAAAAAAAACGGAAAAAAAAGAAAAAAGAAGAAGAAGAAGAAGAAAGTAGAGTACATGTTGTGCATAAATCATACAGATGCATACACACACCCACACATATATATATATATTTCTACGCCCCCAAATGGGTTTGTTTCAGAATTAAATCAAAATTAAACACATGCAAGTACATATGCATATAAGTAAATAGTACATTTCTACTATATACACATACATCCCAAATGGGTTTTGTTCCAGAATGGTAGCAAAATATATACACAGTGGCAAGTTTAATACAATGATCTCAAAAATATCATTAGGGTTAAACTTTGAAAAAATTGCGGTGGTAGAAACTGATTGGCCTGCCAAAAAAATTGCCTTTTACAAATTTATTGGGGATAGAGTTTAGGGGATCTGCAATTAATTTTTTCTTTTTCTTTTCTGAAGAGTTACAGACGGTGAACAGAACCGCCGTTCAGCAGCTGTTCAGCAGCCATCCTTTCCATGCCGGTGAGAACAAGACCCACTTCTCACCGGAATCGCGACCTATCACTGTCGCTGCTCATCGTCATTTCATCTACTGCCGGTCGTTTCCTCCTTTCTTTCTGGCGATGTGGGTTCGTAACATGGTGAGACAAATATATATATATATATATATATATATATAAGAGAATCACAATTCTGGTACAAAGAGAGAGAGAATTTAGAGAGAGAGAAATGGGTCTGCAGAGAGATTTTTTAGAGAGAAAAATAGAGGAGGGAGGTTGTTGTGATGTGTAAGAAGTGTTTGGGTACAAAAGTAACATATATCCAAGTGTTTGGGTACAAAAATAACACATATCCAGGGATTGGTTAATCCTATATAAGAAAATGACAAAATGGCATGTTAGTCATTCCATTCACGTATATGGTATTGTCAGTTGACCATATCTGGCGGTTTGATTGAAGATTTGCAAATCTGAGGGGTTCTTCTTGATGTATTGACAAAACACGTGGGGTGTAACTAAAGTTTACCCTAATTTTTTTTACTAATAGACCCTTGTTAATTTATTTTTTTAATTATATACTTATAAAATATTAGAGCAATCTAAGGAAAGTTGCTAAAGGTGACTGTGAATTAACAGTCGCTTTTCTCATTGGCGCGGTATGTTTCTTATTTTTATCAAACACTAAAAATATATATTTTTTGACAGTACTACCCTTTTAATCTTTCTCCTCACTTAAACCATATCAAAGGTGTCATTAATACATTCCTACTTTTAATAGGACATTAAATTATTAATTTTAATACAAAACTACCTTATTTCTTTCATTTGCTTCCACTTCCCACCCTTTTGTGTGTGTGTGTTTACACACACATATATAACAATGGATTCTTTTATTTTCTTTTAGGTATTGTTTAATAGTGATAGTTGAGGGATAATTTTTTTTTTTTTTTTTCCTTATTCATTCTCTATATAACAGATATATAGAGAATGAATTATTATCTCTCAAAAAAAAAAAAAAAAAAAAAAAAAAAAGAAGAAGAAGAAGAAGAAGAAAAGAATCCATTGTTATGAATTCTTAGTATTTCATAAAAATAGGAAACATATCATTAATAAATATATTAATTACAAATCTTAGGACCAATGAGAAGAGCGAGTGTTAATTCTCAGTTGCTAAGCATTGCTCAAAATATTAATATAATTTCTCAGATAATTATCAAAATATGAATATAATATCTCACATAATTATCTGAATCTGTCCTGAAATGTCTTATAGTGATCTTAACTAGATTGTGAGTTGTGACTGTAACTCAAAACTAGAGAGGCTCTCAGTCTGTTTGAATGGCATTTTGGTTTCATTCTATTTAATATTAATTTGTTACTCTAACTCAATGGGTTAGAAGGATCAACAATTTGGTAAAGTCCATGGACTGAAATTTTAATATTACCTCATTATTGTGATCTTGTTTACTATATTTATGAGTTTTGATCCTTTTGTAAATAAAAAATAAATAAATAAATAAATTTGCTCATGGGATTTGTTTGTTACTATAAGAATCATTTTTTAAAACTTAAAAAAGAATAATAATAATAATTTGTTTTATTATTTTTCTCAAGTGTTATTAGCTCAGATCAAATAACTCTAGCAGAGAAAAATCTTCTGGAAAGATCTATCTATAAAAAATAAAGATAAACTTGAACATAATCTATTTTAACAAGTAGAGCCCATGAATCACGTTACAACCACAAAGAGACATAAAAACGTTTTTTTTTTAGCATAATAGAGTCTCACATACCATTAAGTGGGGGTAATAATGATATATTTTTTGTAATTTTGGAAAGTAATAGTAATATTTTAGGAGTATATAACTGAAAAAATAAGGTATATTAGTAAAAAAAAAAAAGGTCAGCGTAAGTACGTCCCTGACTGTTATTTTTGAACAAAGTGATTAATATCAGTATCTATGAATACTCTATCTGTAGCATAATTCAAATCGCTACATTATGAATTTTGGATGCTTTTAAGCAAACTTACACCATTTCATTTATTCAGCCGAATTTTCCTTAGAACTTCTAAATGTTTTCAACAAATTTTCAATCCCATTCATATTCATTTCCTTCCTGATCTTGATCATAACTATCTTGTTGATTTTTATTTTTAATTTTTCATTTTTTTTTTTTTCGATAGTTTGTGTTATATGTTGCATTTATAATGGATAAAGTAAATGTGGACTTACAAGGTAAAATTTTCATCTTGAAATTCCTTCTCCTTCTAAGGTGTTAAATCCACAGCAGAATTCAAAAGAACATCTACTAAATGGTTGTCCAAAAGATTAACTTCATATAAAACTCCTCTATTGGTTTTAACTTTTAACAAGGTCAGGCTCGGATGACTTGACAACCTCTATAAGGGCCTTCAATATTTTTTAATTTCAGTAAAAACAATGCAAAAATTATGTGGGCACGCACAGACCCATTAAGGGCTCAGTTGTAGTAGTTGCCCCATTGAAAAAAAAAATTATTTATAAAATTATCTATAAATTTTATAAAAATATCTATACTTTTTTTGTGAAAATATTAAGAACGTCCCAACTCAATTTTTAATGATACATCACCATACTCAATTTTTAATGATACATCACCATACATTATTGTTGTTCAAGATTATCCCTTCTCATACAATTTTTTAGATCCTTCACTGTACCATAGGTACCATGAAACTCCAACAATATTATATATATAAGCATTAGAAAGAGATGTTACTTTTAAAAAAAAAAATTTTAAAAATTATACATTAGAAGGCTCACAGATAAGGAAACTCCAAATTTCACAGGTACAGTGTTATAAATTTCAAGTATGTCTTGGTAAGTGACATTTCTATTAGGCTCGTAGTCAACAATAGTCTCTCCTTCCTAACCCCAAGCATTAAGGCTAAGTTTGTTTGGAGAGAAATGAAAGGAAAAGAAAAGAAAGGTCATGGAAGGAAATGTAATATTGTGTTTGTTATAAATAAAAGAGAAGAAAGGAAATACAGGGATTTTGAGTGATACAAATTAGACACGAATGTTGAGTTTTGTTATCCTTCCAAAAATGGGAAGAAATAAAAGAAAAGAGCTGTGAAGTTTGATAAAACTTTTTAAATACATATTTTGCCCTTATTCTTGGTATTTTTATAAAAGACAAAATTTATAGAAAATAGTATGATATTAATTTATTAAATAATATCATTTCTTTGTCTTTTTGTTTTTTCCTTCATTAATCACCAAACACGTTACATGGTTAATACTTTACTTGTCATTTCCTTTCTTTTCTTTCCATTCCTAATTAATGTTATCACTTCTTCTCCTTTTAATTGTACCAAAGGATTTTGCTTTGTTTGAATGCATGATATTCCAACCCGCAGCCCCAAAAAAAAAAAAACATTGGCCCAATGTTTGGGTCCATTTCCTAGCAGGAGTGCACAAAAAATCGGTTGAACCAATAATTCGAATCGGACCAAATTCGACCAGTAAGTTTGGTTCGACTTTTTCATAATTCGGTTTGGTTACGATTCCAAAAATTTGAAACTATTTATAAAGGGTTGGATTATGATTTGAGATTCTACCAGATGGAACCAAACACTTTTATAAATTATATATATATTGTATTATATAAATAATACAATAATAAGATTAGGCTTTTAATATATATATATATTTATTTATATATAATAAAAATTGAAACAAGTCTGGAATAAAATTTAATTGTTGAAGAATATTATATGTTTATTTATTTTAACTAAATGTTTTTTCTTTCCTATTATGTTTTACTACACAACATGACCCCCGCAACTCACTAAGTAACCAGAGTAATATCTGGTACTTTTTTTTGGGACTTAGCCCCGAAACATCGGCTGGGGTTGGAGATATAATACTTTTCAACCGATATTACAACAACTCTTTTGTCAAAACTATTTTTTCACATTTCATATCAACGAGTTCGAGTTAATGCAGCCGCTGACTCCTTGGACATAAGACCTCATTACAAGAGTGACTCCTTGGACATAAGACCTCATTACAAGAGTGTGATAATTTGATCGAAAACTCAGTCACTAATGCTTTGAGCTTGGTACTTGTTGATTACAAAACACTTCACCTATTTATAAACACCCAACTCCTCAGTGGACCGTTAGGATGTATTTACCTTAATAGCCAAGATTATCTCTCTGGAACCTTCTACCAAAACAACTTACATATTTATAACTCAATAAAACTTTTTCACAATCTAAACTCCCCCACAATTCTCTACATCTGCATTATTCCACAATCTTCCACAACCCTCTACAATTTCCTACACAAATGAAAGAATTTAAAGCGTGTCTTGCATGAGCCCTTGCACGTCGTCTGCTTAAGACCTCCTCTTCAATAGTATGTTCAATTGTCGAGCTGTTGTCAAATAGGGCACTTTGAGATATACATTCCAGTTGATCTCACCATCACTTTCACATTTTGTGAGACAAGTATGTTTGGTAACACACCTTAGGAAAGCCTAATTTTTAAACAACACAAATGATTTTTTTCTTTTTCAGTAAGGAAGAGAAGAAGAAAAAAGGGCTTAAATCATAGCCTAATTGATTTGATGATTTTATGGATCCATTTGCCATTAGAATTCTATATTATAATTCGATACATGGAAATCACTTCGAATTTTTGTTCTCTAGTTAAGCTATTTTATTAAATAATTAATTTCTTAATGGATATATATGTTTTTGTCAATCTAACAAGTAACAACTAACAATTAAAAATATTATTAACACATGTAATAATATAATTGTTGTTACATTCTTGTCATCTTGATCTCACATCCTCCAATGAAATTGCACCCTTAACTCAATCATGCAGCTTATTAATCAGTAGGCTATGGTAGAATATTCGTGTCGTATCTTCTCCAATTTGGAGCGTGTGATGCATGTTCCTTCTATTTGAGTTATCCAACTTGAGTTATGAATAGAAACGATTTTTTTCTTTTTCGGGAAGAAAGAAGAAAAAACAGTACTTAAACCGTCTAATTGATTCGACAACTTTATGAAGCAGTACCCCTGTTATTCCGATTCAGAGTATGCTCCTAACACCGATTCAGTAAATAACTATCAGGAATGAGGTAATCCTTAAACAAGCTCTGTAGCATGGACACTGGGGGAGTATAATGTGTGCTATCAATTAATGGCAAAAATAACAAGAATATAGAAGAGAAGATGGAAAACAGAAAGGAATATTGTGAACCATATATCATTTGACCTTCATTTCTGTTGAAGTTTCATTACATTTGAAAATCCCAGATCATTCAATTTCTTGATTTTATTCTCAGGCACTAATGTACTATGAGCCATATGATTCGCAATAAGTTGTTTGTACCAAGCTGCAGACAATTTTGGAGTCCTGTTGAGGGTGCTATAATCGACGTGGTGAAGCCCGAACCTTACTGTATATCCAGATGTCCACTCAAAGTTGTCAAGCAATGACCAAGAGAAGTACCCTCTCACATCTGCTCCTTTCCTGACAATAAACTTCAATATATCATTTGCAGATAAAATTTAACAGCCTTTTAGTACCAAGATAACGAAAAACAGAACCATAAGTCCTATCAGAGCTAAAAAAAAAATTGCAGTCCAACTCAGTTGAAAATACTGTTTGGAGAGCCATAAGGACATGTGACGAAATTTGAGAGTAAAGATAATTGCTAGTGGCTATCTGCCATGGATGGCTGGGATTTCTACCTCATTGCTGTCACCAACGCATCCAAGTAGGCGTTCATGTACTCCACCCTTCTGACATCATTAAGGAAAACTTCGATATCTGAACTGGGACTACTCATTTCACCAAATCCTACAAAATCCGCAATCATAAGAGAGATCTTCAACAAATGTAGCCGAATTTTCTTGAAAACACTTCAAAGTTGTTTTTGACTCACCGTTTTCTGTAATGAACATTGGTGTATTGTTGTACCTATCCTTCAGGTATGTCACCATTTTGTCCATTCCTTGAGGGTAAATATAGAGCCAGTCCACATCAGTCTACATCATCAAAAACTTTGAATAAATTTTCAATAATTTGTAAGTTGTGGTGATGGAGATAAGCTGAGGACACATACAGGTTCCCCAATGTAGACACCATCCTTTTGGGCAGTTCGTAGAATATACCCTTCTGTCCTTGATACTCCCGGTCCATATTCACATACAGAGAACATGCAGTCTTTAATATAGAAACTAGTATAGTGGTTGATGCCGATAAAGTCTACTCCCTTCTTGAGCTGATCCAGATCCTTTTTTGAGAATGCGGGCAAAGCAGATCCTAGGATTTCACTCATTTCTGCAGGATACTTCCCAAATATAATAGGGTCCAAGAACCTGCATTGAACATTACACGGAGTCAGCGCATGCCCTGCCGTGTAACTTGAGGAATTCTATAGCCAAGTAATCATATCAATGCTACCATGATAATAGCATAAGATTCCATCATTTATGCAGTGAATGCACAAAAATCAACTAAAAACTCTTCGAGTGCAATGCATGTGTTGAGGTCATTGTTGGAAGTAATTTTTTTTTTTCATAATTGGTACTTACACACACATGCCTCCATGGAGGATTGAACCGTTGACCTCCATTTGGGAAGTAAGGGTTTGATACAACTAGGCCACTGGCCGTTGGTCATTGTTGCAAGTAATTGTTTGTAAACATGATTCAAACTAATCACTTCTTCGTACTCTCATGTTGATGATGATAGATAAGTATGGACAATGGAAAATGATTACCAGTTCATATAAAAAGATTGAGCTCTCTCAACCGCTAACTCGTCTTCTAAGGAATTGCTGATGGGTTCAAACCATAAGGCATTCATAACAATTCCAATGTTGCCTCCTTGATTTTTCTGAAAGTTTTGTGAGTAAGAGTTAAGATTGTAATGAAGCAATTGTCTAATGTTTTCTTTAGTTCACCTAGATTTGTTTTAGATATGTGGAAGTTTGGGATAATCATTTTCAACCAGAATGGTAACTAGAGACATTTACTAAATTACCTGGTATTTTGTTCGATAAATATCAACAGCAGCAGCGTGAGATAGGATCATGTTATGGGCTGCAATAAAAGGCTCCCTCTCTGAATCACCATTACTACAGTTTCCAAATGAGCCTGAGCAATGAGATGGCGGGTACATCCCTGACCTGTAACCGCGAATGACTGCAACATTGGGCTCATTGATGGTGACCCAATATTTAACTCTGTCCCCAAAATGTTTGAAACATATATCTGCATAATATCTGAAATCGTCTCTGGAAAATATATGATCTATATTAGTGACAATGATGTCTTGCGGAATACACTCATGAACTGAAACTACACTAAGAGATTCTTCAAGTGGTGGAAAATTCTTAAGAAATGTGAACTTTTCATCAAACAAATTCTCTCTCCCAAACACTGCCATATTGTCAAAGGTACAAATTTTTTTTTTTTTGGGTCTTGCAAAAAATTTCCCAAAACGTTCAAAATCCGCTTGATTTGACATTACAGATGACTCCGGGATCTCTCTTTTTGCTTCATACTTAGTCATATACTTACTGCACCTCCGGACATAGCCAGGCTCCATATCTGTCTTCAAGTTCTTGAGGGATGTCATAATGAATCAACGTCACAAATGGTTGGATCCCTGAAGGCAGAAAAATGGAAATTATAGGAAAGTAAAATATGATTTCTTTCCATCCATTGGTATAAATATGTTATGGACCTATGGTGATGACATCAATCACTATCTCAGATAACTGAACAGTATCTGAGCTCAAACTATTAAATCTGAACTGCATTCTGACAAGGTTAGATGAAGCTGCATGCTGAATAACTGAAATCGGCATACAAATTAAAGTGGTTGAACCTTTATGCAGGAGTGCATCAATGAGCTCGTTATAATGTTTGATGCCAGCCATATTCACATTTCCGAATCTCCCCTCCGATTCAAGTTGAACAAAGAAAGTTTGTTAGAAATAAAAAAAGTTTAAATCAAATTAAAAGCATTTTTTTTCCTATTAATAAAATTTAAACTTACTGGGTAAAATTCTGGCCCATGATATAGAGAAACGAAAGCTATTGACTCCCATAAAGTCCATAAGATCTATATCCTTCTGGATATCACATCATCATATACCCATATCGTCAGCACTTTCTTATTTGCATGTTGATGTCTAAAATGTTCATGAATATGAAACAAAAGCCATTTTGATATATATATATATATATGATTCATCCTATTTCATTTGTGCCAAAGGGAGGTTGCGAACATTAATATTCCTTTATTGCAAAGGTGATTAGCTTTGATTAGCATATTGATCATTTTGATAAATACTATGCCTAATATCTTCTTAATTTTAAAAAAAAAAAAAAAAATTGTTTCATGTACTTGGTTATATATTCCTCTTTCATTTATGGATGACCCATATTTGATTGGTCAGGGTGTCACCACACTCTGTGGACCACAATAAAGGGCTTGGGTTGGTTTATGAAATAACATCACTGCATGGATCAACATTGGATCCAAAGGCTGTCACTCAGCCATACACCAGTGGATCAGTAGAGAATGAGCTTACCATTTTGGACAAGAGCACTGATATGCATAGTGAAAGTTTCAATCAAACGGCTCCCCGTTCATAAGATAGTGTGTGTGGGACCCAAACATGGTCCCACTTTCACCATCCAGTGGATGGAGAGCTGTCCAGCTCCCCTTTCGGTTGCAACTTTCACTCTGTTAATCATTTTTCTCTGGACAAATCACTTTTAAGCGGGCATTTAAAAGATGGACAATTATAAATTACTTTAACAAGTACTTTCAAATTACATTACGCAGTATATAATCTCCCTCCCAAGAGCTCCCCTGCTCCCAGAAACCATCATAGGGTATAGGCAAGGCAGAACAAATATTGCTTAATGCCTTTTATCATATCTATGATCGATCTTCCTTGCTGTCCACAAAAGGTGTAATGGTAGTTTAGTGCTCCAAAAAAATCACACAAGTGGGCCCTATTTTCCTTATGTCATTTTTCATTTTTTTTGTTTGGTTAGAGCAAGTGGGGTTCATGAACAATCAAATCTTTGTGAAATCTAATGATTCATTGTCCATATTTCAAACAAGTCCAGATCAATCAACTTTTGAAATATGTGGACATATTAGCAACCAAATAATTACCTACACCATAAGATGCCATATAGGGCATTTGAGGGTGGGATGATGAGAACAGAAACACTGTCAAAAATGTATTATGCTTAGGGTCATTTATTTACATTGAACAATGTAAAAATTGAAATATTAAGCATTTCATGTTTGGATGTAAATTTGAATTTTCCCGTAAAAACAGGCAACTTATTAGAAACAGAAAGACCGCAAAGGCCTGTGGCCTAGTGAAAGTTAGAGGAGCAATGATTTCGAGGACTTTGCAGCATGTTGGGCCCAACAAGCAAACAGAAACACAAGTTTTAGTGTGGAAGTTATTTAAAAACTTAAATTGCACAATGATTTATATATTACTACAAAAATTCCATCAAGAATTTGTCCTTATAATAATCCATCAGCTCCTACTTCCTAGGCATACCCAAAGATCATTCATCTGAGTGCATAACTTTTTTTCTTTTCTGTGCATAACTTTTTTTCTTTTCTCCACTACTACTACTACCATTGTTGCAGCAGCAATTATTTTAACACAACCAATACTGAAGAGTGAAGCAAAGGATGGTTCATGCATACACTAAATTACCAGATAACGGTGATAATGATCAACGGCAATATCTCCATTACTTCCATCCATGATTTTCCCTGTAACAGTTTCAACAAATTTCAGTAAGAGGGACGCGAAACAGGAAAACAGAAGGAAAAAGAAAAAAAAAAGAATTCATGTAAGAGCAGTAAATTTAATAAAGGTAGTCTCACCAGGTTTGTGAGAAAAAACATCCCAGTTATTAAGACCTTTCCCTTCACTTAGAAATGCCCCTTCAAACTGAGAAGATAGCGATTAAAAAAGTGATTAAAAATATATGTAAATTGCACTAAAATAATGGATTTTTATGTATGAAGATGAAATAAAATATTTTCAAGAACCTGATAAGAAGAGGATGCAGTTCCGAACAGGAAGTTGCTTGGAAACGAGGGTATGTCTGTACTTCCATTAAGGGCTATGGAATTCCCTGATACCATGAAAGTGAAGAAGCACATCCCAAAGACACGAAACAGAAATGGAAGTCCCATGATAATAAATGAGAAACTGTGTCACAGAGACTCAGAGAAAGCCCTGCAGTATTTAAAGGCATTATTGGAAAAATTAAAAATGTACTGTCCATGATGGACCACGAAGACTTATAAATGAAGTCACTAACAGAGAAAGGTCAAGAAAAAGAAAGATGGTGATATTGATATTATAGTAAAGAGAAAGATATAAAGGAATAGTTGAAGTATATATATATATTATTAGGTAAACTCACTCATAGGAGAGTGAGCCCCTTAGCTCTTTGTGCAGTCACCATCCTGGCATCATACTCTAGTCGCAAATACCGGCCTTTGTGGCCCTGCAGAAAAGAGCACTTGCTTAGAACAATTCCAATAATTAGTAAATGTCACACCAGACTAGCTTTTCTAGTAAATTGATATTTTTTTAATCTCCATGGCTTATTTGTAGCTTTACTAACAAACAGGAACATTATGTATAACTAAAATGGACCACGGAGATTAAAAATTTGTAAAATAAGATGGTCTGTGAGATTATATAAAGAAAACAACAATACAATATTACCAGTAAGAATTAGGATGAAGAAAAATTGTGGAAAGAAGGGAAGGCAATAGCCTTGCCTCGTCCTCTGAGTAATAGTAAATGATGCAGTGAAGTAAATACTGTAAATTAATGTGAAAAAGATTTTAAAAAGGGATTACAATGGACGGTAAACATTATATACAAAAAATGTAAAAGCTAGGTAAGACTGTTATGCACATGTTAACTACATGAAGATAGAAAAGAACATAATGATATATGCAGGTAGGATGAAATAAAATTGTGGGAAGAAGGGATAATACCAGCCTTCTGATGTATTCACATCCTCCTATATTGATTGTGATAGATGATCGTTAAGTGAAATCAAGTGCGAAAGAATCTAACATGGTTTACAACCTGCGATATATGCATAGGAGATGATCAATATTGTTCTTCACAATCACACAATCTTGGATGAAATAGTAGTCCAAGGTTTTGAGACCGCATTAAGACTCCACAGTTTCATAAGGACATAACAACCTAGTCAAATTTGCTAGGTATATCGATTTTTATTCACATACTTTCTTTGTCCAAGAGAAATGCTCTGTGTAGAAGAAGAAGATTCTGTTTTCCGAAATCTGAAATGATATATGAATAATCTTCCACAACTAAGTCAAAAGGTTATTATCCAGTATGGTCCCCGCTAATCGAGGCTTCTGGGAGGATTAGACTGGAAATATACATAACCTTTGAAACACTTGAAGAAGTACTGCACTACTTCATGTAATCATCAAATGTGGTGGCAACCAAGAACAAGTAACAATGTTACAAATTTCAGATGCAACTTTTGGGGTGCTTGTTTTGATGAATAATAACAATGTCTATCATATGGATAATCTTTATCTACCAATAGAGACCAAAAAGTTGCTTAAATGATAAATAATAAATAAATAAATTGACAGAAGACAACAGTTAAACATAAGAGAGGTAACAATTTGAAATAAGGTTAAATTGACAAGAGTCGATAGAAAATTATACCAGTAAGATGCTAGGGAGACATGCAACATCAGGAGAATTTTCAAAGTCTACCTAATTTGTAATCAGGCATTCTCTTGCGGCTGAAAAGAGCTCAAAAACAACATCAATCAAATCATGTACAATTTTGATTGATCATCAATAATTGACAATGAAACCAATTATCAACCCAAAATTGTTAAATAACCTAAAAGGATGGTCCATTGTGCTATCAAGTCCCATATATCATGTCAAACCCCAAAATCATTTGAATGGTGACTTTTTTAAAGAAAATGACTTGAAGGAAGAAAAAAGAACTTGTCCAAAGCAAAAGATACCCGAATTTACCAATAGAGAACAGAAAGTTGGTGAAATGATAAAGAAGAACAACAAAAGCAATAATCATACATAATGCATCCCATCATAAGGGTCAAATTAACAAAACCACGCGAGAAGTTATTAAGATGCTAGTGGAGACAATCATGACCTTGGAACATCACAAGAGAATTTTCAAAAATCAGGCAACAATTAGATCCTCGATGATTTCAATTAATCACAAATAACTTAACCATGAAACCAATTATCAACCCCGACTGGTTAAATACCTAAATGATGGTCCAGTGGTCCACTGTGCCATGAAGATCCATATGTCATGTTTAAATCCCAAAATCATTTGAATTCTATGGAAATGACCTGAAGGCAGAAAAAGAATTGCTTCCTTCAGTTTCACTCACACATTAATCCAAAAATATCTGAAAATATACCAATAACACAGGTTATATAATTTAAAAGACCTTTCTTCCAAAAAAAATTTTAAACAGCTTCTTGTTGCAGTATCAAAGCAGAATTCTTGGGACCTTCTAGAATCCATAATACCCAGAAGCATCTTTTGGAATTAATCATCTCCAAGGGTCTTCCAACACAGAGGCAGCAAAGTGTACCCATGGAAGGTGCTTGTTAAAATGCACACACAGAGCTAGAGTTTCCATTCTTGTATATATATATATATGTATGTATGTATATATATATATATATAGTCAATATAAAAGTAACATTTATCCTTGGTGTTAAATACTTTCATCAGGATTAACAGATAAAGCCCATATCACCACTCTATAAAATTCATGCGAATTTGTAAATCATGGCCAGAGTCATGAATCGAAGTGTCTTTATATGCAAACTTACACTTTTCATTTTGAGTTTACATCATTACTTAAATTGTAATAGTAGCATAGTAAATCATTGAATACAAAAACCCACATCATAAAACAGCAACAATACACTTTTACCCTAATTTGATTACACAGTCTGAAAATTCATGCATCAATGTCCACCTAATTCACCTGAAGAACAATTATCAAAACCATCACGTGGTCCACAAAGCAAACCCAATCAAACATAATGACCATAGGTTCTCAACAAAAATTACATAACCAATAAAAACCCACAAGAATGGAACAACAAATTAACCAATATTAATTTTTAAAAAGTGATTAAAAACAACAAATTTACTCAGTTTTCTAGATCCATTGGCCTCATTTGGGTTCTAATTTAACCAACAACAAAAAAACATAATTGTATGCTGTCAACTATATTAATGGACAGGAAAAAAAAAAAAAATTATATTAATGGACAATTAAAAATAGCACAGGAGGGTAATGAAACTTGTAGTGTATTTGGGTGCTTCGTCACCTAGGTTTGAGTGTCCGTTCAGGTTCAGGTGCCGCAAGTAAAGTAAAGTGAGTGTGAGAATTTCTAGACAAAAAAAAATGAAAAAGAAAAAGAAAACATGAAATAAAATTGGAGCAACAGCCCAATAATAATAATAATAGTCCATTCAGCCACAAGGTAAAAAAGGGCCCAAAAACCCGACTCCCAAAAAAGCTTCAAATTTCAAAAGCATTTTTAACAGTTGTGTAATTTTATTTTATTTTATGTAAATATGATGAGTCGTGATAAATTTATACAAAAATATTGAATTATTTATTTTTAGCCTCTATTTTATACATTTTGTTTAAAAATAAATCCCCCGTAACAATCAAGCACTCCTACATAACTTTTACAAACCTATTTGATACAGAGTTAACTATTTAATAGAATGAGAAAGAGAGAGGAGAAAGGAAATATATTAATATGACTGTGTAAAAAGACTGGGTAAAATATATAACAATTTTATATATTGGTGACGTGGCAATGTGTCTTAACAAACAACTCGAGATAAATAAATAAATAAATAAAAATTACACATCATGAGTGGCAGTATATATGTTACACAAAATGATATTTTAACAGACGGCTGGAGATGCTCTTACTCATATTTATATGCTTCAGCTCCAAAATGGTTTTAGTTCTCAAATCATCTCTTAAATATTTTTGAAATATAATTTAAAGGTATTATTTTTTTCAGTATTCATAATTCAACTATTTTATGTAAATGAGAAATGTTATCAAGATAATATAAAAATGGAGCAACAGGTTATTAGAGGAAAAATGCTTTTTAGGCCCGCCATTACAAACAGAAAGAAATGGTGGCCCAATGTATTCCAGCACGTGGAATTTGGCCCACCATTTTATATAGCACAAATGGTATTGCAACCCTCAAAAGGAAGTAATTCTCATTAAAATGTACTTACAAAAATAATAATAAATAAATAAATCACATCACATCACATCACATCACATCACATCAGGAGTATGATTCGAAAGCGAGATCTAGGACTTACCTCCCAGAATCCTGTTAACGTCGCTATACTCCGATAACATATTGTGGAGGATATATGATTGTGTTATTATAATCGGTATTGATTGAAATCTCTTTGGGATGTGAGCATCTCCAATGCATAAAGCTACCAGCATGTCAAATCTATATTTTGAGGGGTGCTATAGTGTCAAAATGATATATTTTAGCAATTCTACTCTAATAGTGCATTGCTATTTTTTGACATAAACACCATTTTTTTTTCAACAATCTTCCCAACTTCCATTTTCAAACGCCATTCTTTTTTCATTGCAAATATAGATAGAGATGGACAGAGGAAACAAACTCCAGAGACCTAGAAACAAACAGATTGATGAGAGAAAAAGAAAGAAGCCGATCATATTGATGAGAGATTGATGTGTTGCTATTTCATCATATTCATCCGATCTCCGATCGATTTTTGATCATCATTGCCGCCGCCCTCTTCACCGGAGCTCATGCCACGACCCAGAACCACGGCAACGTCGGAGAAAGCCACGATTGGACCACCCAGAACCATGGCGGTGCAGCACCTTGGAGTCCTCCAGTGGGCCTAAATCATCGAATCCGCCGTCGAAGTTCAGAATCTGGTAACTGCAGAAGTCACAATCGGTTGTTGTAGATGAGTGGGAGAGAGAGACGACAAAGATAACAATATTGAGGGATGGAGAAAGCAACAGGGGATTGAGGGAGATAGGAAGCCATTGCAGATGAGAGGGAGAGAGAGACGACAGAGATAACGATATTAAGGGATTGAGGGAGATAGGAAGAAACGGCGTCGTAGGGCCATTAGACAGACTTGCCAAAAAAAATTAGTAACTTTTACATTTGAGAGAAAATTTAAGATTTTTAAATTTTGAGAGGCCAAATAAAAGGTCATTGGAGAGCTCTTTTTTACCTATCTCTCAAATTATGAATTTGAGAGCCAAAAATGAAAGAGCCTTGGAGTTGCTCATTTGTGGGCTAGACAGGTTCTCTCTCCAAAAAAATTTCCAAATATCTCTAGTGATGATGTGGCAAGTTTTAACCATTTGAATGTGAGAAATGTTAAAGAAATGTTTTAATGCTCATGATGTACTGATGATATAGTATCATCAATTAATTAAATAATTACATGTAGTACTGATGATAGAACCTACTAAATAAATACATTTTTTTCTTTCTTACTAAACCTCGGTGACATTGATAGTGTGCTACAGGAAAGTCTTTCTCGATTAATATGTGCGCATTGATAAACTAAATACTGTTGTCTCCGTACAGCTAACAGCTGGGCCAAACCAAGCCCACGTAGGTGTACTGAACAAGTCCAACACCAATTTGAACTATTTTAGGACTGACCCATCCTGAGCCCCATTTACAAGTCTAATTTTACAGTGTAATGTTTTATTTATTTATTTTTGGCAGGGGAATGAAAATTATGTTCACCTTCTTTGGATATTCAAATCTAAACAATGGGGTTCCTACCATCATCACGCTTTAAAGCTAAAATAGTTGACAAAATGTCATTATTATAATCTGCATAAAAGGATCATGAACCCATGATATTATCATTCTCTTGCTTCAAAAGGGAACTAGTTATTAATATTGTTCTTATTTGCTACTAATCATTTTTCAAAAAAAAACCTGGGGAGAGAATCTAAATGCCAAATCTACCTAGTTACATTTGTTATAAAACCAACATTGACAAAATCATGACATGCTTGGAGAGAAATCCAGTTGAGTCCTGTAGACCAATCTAACACCCGTTTGCCTTTCATCAATGGTGGTCAGTGTGACTTCAGCCAATTCGGTCTCCTCATTGCATCTCTTTCCACATCTACATTACATGATATATCCGCCGCGTTCTTTTGCTTTCTCACTGCTTTGCCTGCTCAATAAATATAGCCAAACATTGTCAGCGAAACGCACCTCAAACAATATCACGATTCATATGTAGTCCAGTAAAGAGAGCGCGTTGCAAAATCAGTTCTCAAAATATCATCTTCCTAAGATTTCACAAGAGGGTTAATGATGCAAAATCATCCATATTAAACGATTGAAAAATTGCAGAAAAAGGGTCTATGCTAAAATCCTCGAACACCAGTAAAGTTGATGGATGGTGGAGGTCACATTTCTTTAAAATGAAGGCTGAAATGATGGTCACATGAGTTCTTATGGATTTTAGTACAATTTGTATATTCTTCCAGCAGAACTGCTGGATGGAATCAGACACTACTTTACCACTTTGTATTTGAAAAGACTAGAGTAGGTTTCACTAGTCCATGTAAAAATGAGAAAGAGAGAAAGGAGAACAAGAGGGGTGACTTCAATCCTCGAGGCGTTTTACCCATCACATTAATTAAAACAGTGGCATCTACCTTAATGGAATACTCCACTCTACTTCTAATATAAACAGGCCATTTTCTAGAACACATTTCTTTACGGCTTGAGCCAAGTTCTAGTACCTATGCATCAGAATGATGGCATGATAGCTTATACCTTCTTTTTTTAATATCAGCACAACTCTAGTCTTACAACAACATATCTAGAAATATTCCGGGCAGTGTCTACAACTAATCCAACAAGAATAGAGGGCATTGCCTAAAAGAAAAGAACTGTCTGCTGGCTGTGCCTTAACGTACATGATGAGGTTTGGAAGACAACCCAACCTCATTGACAAGGTTTGGAATGGCGTAGTACATCCTCATTGATATTTACCATTTAAACTACTTATAATCTAAATATGCAACAGGAGCACAACAACCTATTCCCTCTACATGACTCATGGTTCAATTACACTAAGCATAAAGAGAATTCTTGCAGGACTTAAATTCCGATATAGCAGGCAAGAAATGTGATCATTTTGCTGTTCTTTATATTGCTCAGTGGGCTTAAAAGAGATAGATAGCCTAATCTGTAGCTGTTTGCCACCATATCATTGATATCAACAATCAACATGTCATAAGAGGATGCAAACAATGAGCAAGTTTGTTCAAACAACACTCAAGGTTAAGCAATGTTTGTCTCCGGAAAAATCTCAAGAAGGGTAAGCAGTGTTGGTCAACTTGTGGAGAGAATGTACCTGTGAATATAGGAAGGTTCCAAGGATTGCGATGGCAGCTCCAAGCGCATTGACCGGTTGGACAGGTGTGTGGAAGATGATGATGGATGAGACTATGACGGATATACGCTTCATCGTGTTCCCTATGCTAAATGTCAAGGGAGAGATCTGATCCAAAGACATGTATGACACCTGATTATACAAGTGATAGAAGATGCTCTGGGCCGCTACCCACCTGTTTGTACAATTACAACCACACATGCTTTTCTTATTAGCAAGCCACCAAAGGAGAAGAAGAGTCAAACTACAGAAAGAAATATCAGCACCACCAAATATTGGGAACCATCACATCAGAATTGCAATTTCTCAATCACTCAAAACAAACCAAAAGAAGACAAATAATACACGACGCATATGAGATAACACACGTATAACATTAAAAGTGCAAGAAAGATGAGGCAGCAAAGGGAAGTAGGACAATAAACATGGGAACCTAGACCCCTGGTCAATATTTGCGAACATCATTGAATATCTAGAAATCCATACATGATCATAAAATTAGATAGATTAATGACTAACACGTTTATTCAAATCAAAATGATATGTCATGATATAGAGGAATAGAAAATTTAATGTGTTCTTCAAATGCATGATATCACAGAGATCTCCTTGGTTCAAATCACAATGATTAGAATAGCTTTAATCCATGGACCCTTCCATATGAAAAGCTTTCACCTTTCATCGAGGAAAAGAAAAGTGAAACATGTATATATATATATATATATATGAAAAGGGAATAAGATCGTGCCATTGATTTAAAGTATTTTGAGCAACAGTAGATGCCAGTACTCATCTTTCACTTCTATAGGAGTTTCATGTCCTCAAGAAATTCAATTACAGGCCAATTGTCTAAATAGACCAAGTTTTTGAACTAAAACTAAACTTTAAACTAAATTATGCATAAGAAGTGATCATATAACTAGGATGTTTGTCAAAAAAATCAGATAAAATACAACCAACTTTACAAAGGTAATTGATAACACGTTGATATCAATTTTTAGTAAAAAAATAAAAATAAAAAGGTAAAAAGCATGTCAAAATCACTAGATCGCAGATTTTTCACCATGTAAAAATCAAAATTTTATAAGATCTGCAAGTTATTATTATTACCAAATGAAATTGGGTCCAATCTGAGAGAGTGCTCTTTCCCAGCCAACTGCCCACATCTGAGGGCCCTCCACAGCAATTGCAAAAGGTGTGAGAATTAATAGAGACAACATGGACAAACAAGCATAGTAGTTCATCCCACTAATGGACTTCCCCTTCATTCCCTTCTTTGAGAAAATGTTGCGAAACACGAATGCCAAATTCGAAATCATAGCCCCCATAAACCCTAAAACACAAATCAGAAGTCAACACTCAAACACAAACCCACAAAAACCTACTAACAAAATCACATGAATACATTCTAACTCACAGAAACAAGTCATATATATATATATAGAATTTTTCATATGGAATCGAAAAGATGGAAACTTTGTTGAATTAAATACTGGAATTGATTCTTTTCTCACCAATCATGTTGAAATTGAGCTCAGTGACCGCTGCGAGCGCACAACCACCAATAATTGGCAAAAGGGACAAGTAAACCTGCGCCGGAAACGTCTCACCGAGCAAAAACCTCGAAACCAACACACTGAAAGCAGGTTCACCACTCTTGATAATGTGTGTGAATGAAACAGCAACTTTAGACATACTAACAGTGGCTGCTACATGCCCAATTGTGTGCGCCACAGCAACCTACATACATGACAAAACCCATTCAGATTCAAACCCTTCCAACACACATAAACCTAACACACACATCAAAAACCCTAGTTTCATACCGGAAACAGAATCTTCCAGAACTCGAGATCGATCTTCGGGGGTTCAGCAATCCTTGTAGCCCATGAAACCAGCATAATCAACGACCCTGCTGCTAATGAAAGCGTTGATGTGAGCCATGGGTATGGAAATGCATTGAGAACCTTCTTGTTGTATATATTGAACACCACATTCAAAGCCCACCATGTTGCGAAATATAGACTGATTTTGAGCTTCTGGGCTGCCTCTTGTTGATCTGGTAATTCAATGTTAATGTCTAATGGTTGCGATCGATCAGATTCATATGCTTTGCATTCAATTACAGGCTTTCGAGTTCTCAATAGAGAACCAAACCCTTCAATTGAAGATATAGAAAGAGGCTTTTTTATACAGATTTGTGGATTTGAAATTGAGGGTAGTGAAAGGGTTTGAAGGCTTGAGGGTAAATAAGATTTTGATCTGAAATCAGAGTGTTTGATCGCGAATGAGTATGTTGATTGTTTGGCAGAGCAAATCATATTTGCTGTGTTGTGTTTGTGACAATGTAAAACCAGTGATCAGATCAAATGGGTTAGTCAAAATTTGTTAAATTAAGCGTTTAAAAGAGAAGAAACGGATCAGAATCTGAGGGAAACCTAGAAAATTCCCTAAAAATTATCTGTAGAAGCAATTTTTTTCGAAAAAAACGAAACAGGGGTTTTAATACAGAGACTTAGCTTTGAAATATCAGAATGTTGTGATGGATCGACGGATTATACGAGAGGGACAATGACTTTGAAAACGTCAATAGTTTGGCAGAGAGAGAGAGAATTGAAGGAGAGAAGAGCAAGATGGAGGCGCAACTGAGGAGAGATTGATATATATATATATATAGAGAGAGAGAGAGAGAGAGAGGCGATGGAGAAAAGTATGATTTGTTATTACGTATGTGTGTATAACACAAACATGTATACAATTAATACAGTACAACTGTGAATCTATAGAAGAACAACTGTGAAACACTGAAACTAGAAGAACAACCGTGAAACAGACCTAAAACAGGGTAACAAATTAGGAGATAAATCTGCTTTATAGTTATTATAATTAAATCTATTTGTATCATTCAAATGTTAGTTGACTGATAATGCTTGGTGTTGTGTGGGAATTAGTCTTCTTAACCGGACACAGGGCAGTTGGTTAGCACCTAACAGTCGACATAAAATGATTGATTACCACTAAACCATGTTATTTTTTATTTGAAGAAAAAGTTAGAATGTACTTTAAATTTGTAATATTACACTCACAAGTCACAACTATAAATTATGTTTTGTACAATTATATAAAAATTTGATTAGGTGAGGCTTATCATAATTACAATTTTTGTAATTGCAAAATTACTTCAACTTTCATGGTCAAATATAATGGTCTACTGTTAGCCCCTTGACGGATTTAGCCCTGTAACATCTACCATATTTTACTTTTATTAATTGTGTCAGAAGGTTGGGTGGCCTAGCGTTGTCTTTTTCATCTTCCAAAATAAAATGTATGGATTTGAGTCTTGTAATGCGCAGGGGTGGCAAATTTGTCAACACAACTCAAACATGATACGAGTTAAATGAGTTTGAGTTGACCTTAAACAGATTCGGATCATAAACAGATTGACATGATTAACTCGTTTAGTTAATCGTATCGTTCCGTATAACCTATATATACATGTTTAATTATATATGTCGTAAATAAATTTCTGTTTAAGTTCTAAAATTATTATATAAACTTGTGTCTTATAATTTAATATTTTGTAAACTATAAACTATTTAGTAATTTGGTTGATTAAAACTTATATATTTTTTTAATATTTATTATTTTATTGAGTATTATTAATAATTTAAATAATATACACATATATATATTTTTTTATAAATAGGTCATTAAACGGGTTACACGTGTAACCCGTTTAATAAACAGGTTGTGTTAATGTTAAAAGTTCTTGACACGATTATTAAACGAGATCGTGTTCGGGTTGAGCTGTTTAGTATAATACCCTTAAGTTGACATGACACGATTACGACCCGCGAATACTAATTGTCACCCCTAATAATGTGTTTGGTGAGAAGGAAGAAGTGTGGAGAGAAAATAGGAACAAACGACTGAATTTTTTTATTAATTGTGTTCGGTAGAGATGATAAAAAAAAATAAATAAATAAATAAATAAAAATAAAGGAGAATCAGAAGGGTGACGTTTACAAATTTTCATCCATTCAAAATTGGGAGAAAAGAAGGAAATAAGACAAGTGGACTATTATAGAAGTTTAAAATTAAATACTATCATAAATTATATAAGTTTTAAATTACAGTACTATTATTTATAAATTACAATATTATAAATAATATTGGATATTATGATAAAAACAATTAAATCTTTCTATTTTCCTTCTCTTTTAATTAATATAGTAAATTATAGGTTTATTTTCTTCTCTTCTATCTAACTGAACAAAAAGAAGGAAATACACAATCTCTTCCCCAGTGATCTCTCATCTATCCTTTCTTTTCTCCCTTCCTTTTATTTATTTATTTTTTTTTCCTACCGAACAGAGCATTAGTAAAGACAAACGGGTGCTTGAATTTCTTGTAAATAAAATAATAATAATTAATGGGTTAATTTCCAAGAAAAAATAAAATTAAATATAAAGTTCAGAGGTGAAATGATACGAACAAAAGTTTTTAACTCCTTGCAATTTTCAAATAGAAGAGAGAACAAAAGTTTTTAACTACTTGCAATTTTCAAATAGAAGAGAGTGTGTGTGTAATTATCACAAACATATGGAAATATAAACATAATTTGTCATAATTCATTTTTTCTCTTAAAACAATATTAACTCACTATTTATTTATTTATTTATTTATTATACTTAATTACCGGGACTTGAACTTCAACATCCCAAGAATATCAACCGACTATGGGAGAATATACTACTAACAGGGAATATACCACGAAGTTATTACATTGAGTCTGGTGATTCAATGAATAGATGCATGGACATTATTGACTGAGAAACTTTCATTGAGATTTGAAATGTCAATTATCAAATTGTGGAACTTGGACACGAAATCTTGAGATTTGAAATGTCAATTATCAAAGTGTGGAACTTGGAAAGGAAATTCCCACGCTAGTAGTATTTTTCGCGGTCAGAGAGGTTGCGCACCGCAAGCCACAAAGCGACAAGCACATGACACTGATGGCCCCAACCAGGTTCACCCCATGCCATGAGCTGGATGCCACAGACCACGGATGGTTGGAACCTGTTGTCCTCTTTGACCCCCACAAAAAGTAATATACATGTGTATATAATAACTAAATGTAACCATCTCATTGTTCAGATTGCAATTTGCAAACATTGATGTACTTTATAGGATAGTTGATCTTGTTTGGTGGGAACACTATTTTTCACGTGACTATCACGCTTATGAAAATAGGGTAGCTGTCCAGGACCACCTGGTGGGCTGGTATAGATCCTCCGGCCAACATACAACCACCTAACTTCAAAGGTGTATAGAGATGTATACATGGTGTATGTATTCAAACATCAAACATAATGGGCTCATGTCACACCACCTCTATCAACCCATCCCTTATATGAAATAATATATAATAGAAAATGTAAAAGAAAATAATAACTTCATATATATATATTACTAACATTTTAGACAATCTGTTATCTGTCAACAATGGACTTTTAGATACAACCTGCTAAATGCATGACTAAATTAATGTCTAAATGCATTACTAAATTAATTTGTTTGTTGGGCACTTTCAAAGGCCAGTGTAGTGTTGTTGGACTCATTGAGTTGTTATCCGTGTTTGAGCTTTGACTATTCAAAAAATCTCGAGTGATAAGTTTTTGAATAAGTTTAGACTATTCGATTAAGTCTGTTTATATACGTATGTGTATATATATGCATAGTGTGTCACCTACCTAATAGAAGAAATTATAGTCTATCTCAACTAGATTATCAATTTTCACTCCAATGTTTGGCCTTCACACGATAAAGAAGTGTAATTCACTCCAAATTTAGTCATTCATGTCAACAAAACTTATTAGAGATATTATAATAGTCAGTTAAGATGAAAGAAAAATAAGCAAGAGTAGTAGCCACTCATCGTTAATAGGAGTAAGTTATTGGGCGAGTCATATGTGATCTCATTGAAATGCCTACTCAAGTAAAATATATCATTCAATAAAATGAGTCATACTTAAATAAAATACATCAATCAATAAAATGGCTCTCACTCAGATAAATAATTTTTCAAGTAATTTGAATGGCCTATCGTGGTTAAATTGACATTCTAATTGTTGGTAACGTGCAAGTTTTAAAATTTTTTTAAAGGATTTTCATACATAGATCTTGATTCATCATATAGAGACAAGTTTTATACAAAAATAAAATATGATGTATCATTCAATTAATAGATTGAATACTTACATCAAGATTTGAGTAAACCATATATCTCTATTTTAAAGTAAATGTTCTTACTTATTGTAGATCATTTTTGCTAAATTCATTTTCCATGGATCTCCATCTTCTTGATAATGGTCTTGCCTTTAGGAATCACCCATAAGCCTCCTTGAATTACCTTGAAAAAGTAAGCTTGTGGGAGCCTCTATTAGATGAGAATACTAACTCTAAAATTCTAGAGAGAGAAAATATATTCATTTTTCTTTCAAAAGTCACCCATAAAATATACATGGACCATGTATATATAGGCAACATAAAGATAATGAAAGGAAACAATAAATCATTCTTAATTTCTAATTCACATATCTCAAATCTAATAGGATTCCAATATCAAGTTGAGGTATGAGTGAGAATCTTTTGAGCTTATTATTTTCTTGGCTATAATGAATTAATAATTGGCCCGATCCATAGACTCAATTCAATTAATTCATAAATTAATTTTTACTCCACTAAAAGAAAATAGTTGAACTCCAATTAAATAATAAATAATCTTTAAGTCAATGTTGTACTTTAACCCTTCTATGCATTATTAATTATCGGATAAATAAAGCCATCAATCCGACTACTTAATTAATATATTTATTTTGGTACCTTTAATTATTTCCAGTTTGATCACAATAAAACATTTGTTTGACAAAAATAATAATTTAAATAAATAAATATATAATAAATCATTTTGTCTAAAAACACACGAAGGCCATCGAATTTACTTTGTAATCAACTATAATCAATACAAAATAAATACAAGTAGCAATGATGCAAATATTAAAAATATAACCCTCTGACTATTAATTACATAATACCCAAAGTTCCGATCTATGGATTTCGAAGATTCTGCCGAATAAATCAAAGTAATTACTAATTAATAAAAGAGTTTATACTTCTCTCATGCTTAATAATCAAATGTTATGATGGTGATAGGGAGTAATTGTATACTATGACTTTCGTAAAATATCTCAACCTAATGCGAATCCAGTTCAAGTCTTAGTTAATAACGAGTCCATCCATAATTACCTACTACGAACAATTTATGATTACTATTTATATTCATATATTGATCACCATCACGTACATATATAAATATCTCTTGTAATCAAGTGGACACTATTAATTCCATAATGAATCGAAACATAATACATTAAATTCATTAATTATATAAATCATAAATATTTCAGATATATCATGAACATATGTCGTTATAATCCAAATAGGAATTTGCTATGCTAACGCATATAAATCCCAACACCAATAACGTGATATGTTTGATTCAATTAATATCTTCTAAATTAATGAATGATTTTGCCTTTTCTACTGTGGTCACCCTACTAATACAAGCGTTGGTTTGCAACTTTGTAAATGTGGCGGTTAAGGTTGTGACTTGTAAGAAAAGGTAATGGGATTAAAAAATATATATAGAATGAATATATATTGATTGGATT